AATACTAATTTCTCAATACAACTATTCAAAAATATCCTCTCGTTCTAAGTTTATAAAAAAGCCATAAGAATTTTGAATTTTCTCCAAATATGTGTAAGCTTACAATAATATAAACTAATTACCTTTATATCATTATATATATGTAAAATTCTAGATTTCATTTAGGAAAATTCTAGATTTAATTTAGAAATACAAACAAATATTATTTAAAACCGCGTAAAACCTTTTTAAACGTTTTAAATATTATGAATTATTAGTAATTATTAAACGTATCTAATCTCCTAATGGTAATTATTATCTAGAAATACGTCATAAACCATATAAACTTTATAAATTTTCAAGTTTTAAAAGAGATATTTTAAAAAAATAAATAAATAAATAATATAGTTTTGAAAAGGTATTTCTCAAAAGTTATCATGTACTAGGATTTACCCCGTGGTACACCACGAGTCCATAATTTAATATATTTCTTTGCTTGATCATTTTCGTAGTTGATTTATATAATTTAGTTTTGTATATGTTTATTTTATTTAATTTAATATAATTTTATAAATTTGTATTATAAGTAAATTCATAGATATATGTGGTAAACCCGCGGTACATCGCGAGACAATTTTGTTGTAAATAAAAAATTATATTTTAACTTAACCCGTAAAAGATTTTAAATATAGACAACCCGCAGAAAAATATAATCATATTTATGTAAACTAAAACCCGTTCAATCATATTATGTCCAATATTATTATATTTTAAATATTTGTAGAGTTAAAATATTAGTAATACTTTTAATTTTTGTAGAGTTTAAATATTTTTCATTATTTTAATATTCTATAAAAATTAAATAAATATCAGAATTTTCAGCTTTTTAAAGTTTTAATATTTATCACATTTTAAATTTGTTAAAAAATTAAAATTTATAATATTCTGAAACTTTTAAAAATTTTTATTTTCCTTAAATAAAGAACCGGATTAAGCTAATAAATTTTTTAATTTGGATACTTGAGAAATAAAAGTTCATGCTCATTTGTAGTTGTTAACATATTAATCTTATTTATAAAGGTTTTGAACTATTATCTAAAATTTTATATCTTATGTAGACGTTGTACATATATTCTTTTCTTTATTGATTGAGTTAACTACGTCCGTTTTCAAAAATTTAAATTGCAAAATGTTTGGAAAAAAATTTGTATTTTTATTATATACATACTTTATGTAATAATATAAATTTAAAACACATAAGATTATATAAATATATTGGAGAGAGATTCGGTTTATTAGAGAGGGATTTTAGGAAAAACTTTTATGTAATAAATATTTGGTTTTCAATTTTGGGATTTGCTTGTGATTTAATTACAAACTTTACTTTTAAGTTTTTTTATTTATTCAAATGGCAAGAGTTTAATTATGCAAATATTACAAAATAAAAGGTTATAAGCCAAAATAGATTTTAGTACAAAATGTACTTCAAAAATGTTAAGATAGATTTATAAAAGTATGTAAAATTAAATGAAATAAAACACGTATAAAACTAGACTATATAAACCAACTACAAAAATGACCAACCAAATTATGGACCCGTGGTGTACCACGGGGTAAATCCTAGTATGCTTTTGTAGGAAACGCCATCCACAACTATTTAGTCTTTTTTCTTTGTATATATGTAAAATTATATTCAACAAAAGAAGGCATGTTACACTAATATATAGGGAAAAATGTCATTAAATACATGACCCGAGTCATTTCGGCCAATTAAACTATCAACTTCCAAGCAGGTCATATAAATCATACATAGACATTGACTTACTGTTTAAACATGAAACAAAGTTGACCAAGCCAAAAACAACATGTCGTAAGTCCGATAACAGTCAATTAACAGGTGTTAGTTAGGCGTTAATTTTTTATCATCTCGGACTGGCCTAATACCATCTCGTATTATAGTATAATATCACAAATTAAAAATAAGATCAAATAAAAGTGAAAAGAAGAATAATAATTTTTTTTTTATTATATTACATTAAATTAGTTAAAGAAATATTAGGAAATCTTAAAATTAGTTACGGAAATAATATAATCCTAAAAATTGGATATCGAAAGTATCCGATGTATGTATCCAAACCAATTTTAATATCTAATTTTGAAGTATCTAATTATGAAAATTGGGTTAATTTTGACCCTACTCGTATTATATTTTGTACTTCTCTTTGACTAATTTAGAGATATAGAGATATGATTCAACGACTAATTGCTATTCGTATCATTTGACCTGCTAGTCTTTACCTCGTATTAACTTTTATTTAATTTGTTATCAAAGACACAATTAATTTGAGTCAACGACCACTAAACTGATTCCTAGCCATATATGATAGAATATACTTATTGTATGAAGAAGAGACTAAGTTTTACTTATGTTTTATAAAGTTTTTACTTGCATTTCATAAAGTTTTTACTTATGTTTTACATATGTTTTACGTAAGGTTAGCGACCACTCACCTTACAATTATCAAGCTTTAATTTGTTACCTTTTTCTAAGTATGAGTTTCGTGATTACACTATTCTCACTTGTTCTTCCTCTTCTTCTAAAAATGATACACAATGATGAAACTTTGGTTGTTGTTACCGAGACTGAAGAACCTGAAGACGACGGTGAGAGGACGACGACAACGTCTCATTGAACGTTTTCGTCGACTCTTCACCCGAGCACTCCGGACTCGAAGATGTTCCGGATCAGTTTCCGGTTATTGTTCCTGCGGATCCCCAAACATTCCCGTTTTCATTCAATCTTGAATGCAGGATATGTTTTGGGGAATTCCACCCCGGGACTCTTCACCGATCACTTGGGAATTGAAGATCTAACTGATCAACTTCCCGTTCTTATTCCAGTTGATCCCCAGAATATCCCGTTCCCATTCAACGTTGAATGTGGGATTTGTTTGGGCAAATTCATCTTGGAGGAGATCTTTTGGCGTATATCCCTTGTTTTTCATACTTTTCACTTTTCATTTTTCCTCGTATTATTAATGATTTTAGAAATCGTGTTTGTATCTGAAAATCTGAATATTCGTTAAAAACTATTATTCGCAAATAACTGCGAATATTCGTAAATATGTAAAAAATATATATTGAAATGACGTATATTTTAGACCAAAATACCGAATATTATCTAAATACTAGATATTTCAAATATTATATATGTATCTAAATACTGGATCTGTATTTTTAAATATCGGGTATCCATGTTAAAAAAAGATATTTGATATCCGTTTTTAAAAACCGAATTATCCGTATATGTAACCGAAAATCTCATTTTACTATTTGTATAAGCTTTTGTGGAAATCATTTTTTTAAGATAAAAACATATACATATATAACATCATAAGGAGGTGGGGCACGTGCCCTATATTAATAACTTCCCAATTAGTGAGCTTGCAATAATGTCTATTTAGCTTTTTTGGTAAAAGATTCTCCATGTATTAACCTGTGACCAGGGTTCGAAACCCCAAATCTCTGATTTTTTTCATTTTTTTATTATTTTTTCTGCTTTATTTACGGATTTTATGCCTCAATCTCTCCTTCATTTGAAAACATAAAAAGACCCAAAATAGAAATATCAAACCTCTAATTTTATTTCATGAACAAATAATCTTTTCCACTAAAATTGTGACATGATCTTAAGAATGACATTAATTAGCACTAGGGATGGACGCGCACATACGTACGAGGTTGATTGCAAAACCTATGCTTATCATAAATCTGCAATATTCGGATCGACATGATAGGAGACGGATCGAGTGTCAGAATAATCATTGAACCTTCCACCCGGCGTTTCTTCTTCAAAGCTGAGCTGAACCACTTTTCCAAAAGTCTCTTCTTTTCTTCATCGAAGAGCGCCCTACCTTACCACTTGACTTTGTCTTTCATTTTGAGCAGCATTGGCAAAGCACAAATGAACTGGTGAAACGAATTAATGATAAGTTAAAATCAATTAAATTCTTGAATTATCACATCATATAAAAACAATGAAAAAAATTAAAACTTTTGAATAAAATAACATAAATATAGATGTCAAGATAGTGAAACCCGTTCACTATGCATGTCCTGCAACAAATTGAAATATTTTGGTCCACCCACATGTTACCCATAATTCCCTTCTGTATATAATTAGAAAATAGTTAAGATAATAATTTTTATTTTCTAAATTACCCGTTCTATTTCTGTATCCGTTATTTCTTGTCCCAATATTAAAATATTTAAGTAATTTGAAACTTATCTTTGCTATTTAAATTTCATATTTTTTGCATCATACCCGTCATTTGATATTTGAAAATTGAAACTGAATTTAAGTTTCCAAATTTTTTATATCGTCATTTTTTTGATGAGAAATAGTTTAGATAATTTTTTTTTGAATTACATGTTCCCTTTTTGTCCCCGTTCTTTCCCTATAAGATATGATCTTATATTTTTTTATAAATGAAATCATTTACATGTTTTTTTTTAAAAAAACAACATTATATAGCTTGTAATTAACTAATTAAATTACTCGTTCTCTTTCTATATCCGTTATTTCTTGTCCTGATATCTGAAATAATTAAGTAATTTGAAACTTACTTTTGCTATTTAAATTTCATACTCCTGTATCATACCCGTCAGTTGATATTTTAAAGTTGAAATTGAATTTAAATATGTTACATACTAGATTTTAATCCGCAGTACACCGCGGGATTATTTTTAATTAAGTTTTGTTTTTTTTTAATTTATGTGACTATGGTTTATTAATTTTTTGGTTTTATTGTTTGGTTTTAGAATCTCTAGTTTGGTTTGTGGATTTTTTTGTTAATTTTAAAATGTTGGACTGATTGGAAATTGTAAAATTTAAATCATGGTTTGAAGGAGTATATGATATATGATAGTAACACCGTTGTATATTATTTATGTTTGCTTTAATATAACAATTATTTTGTTGGACATTACGATAACCGAAATGTAATAGGGCAAATTATGTGGCTTTTAAGCCCAATTCTTTGAAACCCACTAAAAAGGATTCAGGTGCCGAGCTCGTTGAAATTGAAGCTGTTTTTTTTTTTTTTCCAGTTTTCCATGGTCACCGTTTCTTTCTCTCCTCTGTCCGAACAAATTCGTTTCACAAAATAAATTATGTGAGTGATGAAAAAGTAGATCACCGTCTCTTTACAGCCTGTAGATGATCCTTTAATTTTCCTTGTTGTAAACACTGGTTAGATTCCGTAATGGAGCGTGTTATTCCATAACGTATCGTCCGATGAAGACAATTTGTGTATTCAAAATCAGTAAGCTCTTACGAACTTGGGATTTTCTATCAGAAAAGAATGATAAGTTACTTCTAAAACTCACAGTTTCGTCGGCCAAAATGAGTTCAAGAGTCTCGCCAGTATTCGCCGTGTATTGGCGCCAGTTATGCAGGACTTTAACTTGGACACGTCATGCGGTTTTGTAAGGCCGGATGTCTCGAAGAAATGCCAATGAAGCAGCCATGGCGTTTGAAATAGCAAGAGTTTTGTAAGGTGGTTGCTTTGGCTATGAGAGTGTGTAGAATGGCGAGTTCCCGTGGGTATTTATAGCTGAGGAAGATGTAAAAATTTTGGATTCAAAAGTGGGATCTAAATAGCATAATATCTTAGTAGGTGCGAGAATATCTTGGTTACAATGCCAAAAAATCATGACGATATCGTGATTGTTTACATATTCCGGCGTAAATGAACTTTCCAAAATGGTTTATCATTAATTAACAGCCGAGTAGTAAAGAAAATTCATATTTAGGAAAGGCAATGATATATTTTAACAATTAAAGAATGGCTATGATTGCGGAATTGAGGTTGTTAGCCGAGATTATAGTAGTGAATAAATATGATCGTAATGTAAATAAGATTTAGCAGTTATTGTCTTATTTTGTGAGAATTAATTATGGTAAGATTTAGCAGTTATTGCCTTATTTTGTGAGAATTAATTATGGTAAGATTTAGCAGTTATTGCCTTATTTTGCGTAAAACCAATAGATGTAGGTACGATTTTTTTTTCCGAAAATTAATCCCTAAAGTTACAAAAATTTTAGAAAAAAGCAAGGATTTATGGTTGCAATTATCTCAAAATAAAAGGGTAGAACAACAAAGGTACTTCAAAAATGTTAATATAGATGTAAATTTTTGGATTTAATTGTCCGCTTTTTTGGCAACAAAATTAATATGATTTCCATAAATATAGATAGTTTCTGTTTTTAATTATTTATTTATTAAAAACAAATTGCGGTCTTTAATTTTGTTTGGCTACAAAGATAACTTTCATGACATTTAATTTAGTTTTGGAGGTCTGTTTGAATACAGTTTCTACTTCCCAATTAATAGTATAGATTTATAACCATGTCTAACATATTTTCCAATTCAGGGGTTAAAGATACATGCCACTTTCAACACTAATTTGGTAGAACGCAATCCATCATTCTTTTCTGGAGCGAAATTGGATAATTTTGACTAATTTCGAGATAATAACAGTCGTAGAAACTTTTAGGCCAGCTCAACTTAAATACAAAATTGTTTCCAACTTGAACAGTTACATTTAGATATAAATGATACCTTTATATCAGCTTACGTCTATTAAAAATTAGACTTTAATAAACAAAATTATATATCGGTTCAAATTTAATTAAATTTCATATTTTTGTTACTGATTTTATTTCAAGTCGGAATTGCATCAAATATTTGGGTTAGAAATAGAATATTGTGCACCTAGACTTAACAAGTTAAAAAACATATTTTATCATTTGATTTGGTCAAAAAAACAAATAAAATTAAATATCCATAATTATTTAAAAACGAATTAAAAAAGCGAAATAACACCAAATAAAAGAAAATTTTGTCCATCTCTCTAACAAACAAACAAAAAATAAAAAGATATAATGATGTTGAAAAGTCAAAAAAGAAGAAGAAGAAAAAAACATTTAACGCGCAAAGACCGATTTGGTTTTTTTTTCTTTTTTTTCTTTGAGTCATTTGTGTTGTGTTCTCATCAGAGTAGTGTTTCTTTCTTTTGCTCTACCCCATTTTTCACGAACCTTACACAAGACGACGACGACGACGACGATCCAAAGTCTGAGTCAACTCACACATCAGACGACTCTTTCTCTTTATTAAAAACTTTTTTCAAAGTCCTTTCTTCTTCATTCTCATTTAAAACACTTACCCACAGATGCGTTTTGCTTCCTCTTCTTCTTCTTCTTCATCTTCTTCATTGTGCTCTTCAATGAACACGAGCACGACGACAACGACGACAAAGACCAAAGCTTCTGTCTTTTGATTCGTAAGTTGAATTTCTCGTAAGAAAGTTTTAAACTTTTTGTTTTTTCCAAGTCAACTCAGTTTTTAGATCGGTTTCTGAAAATCTGTGATTATGTTCTGTTCACAGGTGTTTCTAATGTTCATCGGAAGAGACAACCCTAGATTTTGTTTCTGTATTTTATAGTGATTTTACGAATTTTGGGAGATTTGTGATAATGGGTAGGTTAGTTTTTGCAATTTTCTTTGGGAATTGTCTCTGTTTACTTCTACTGTTGAGCTTAGCCGATGCAAATCAAGCCAACATAGATTGCTTAAGGATCTTTAAATCTCAAGTAGAGGATCCAAATGGGTACTTATCAAGTTGGGATTTTACTAACCAGACTGCAGCTGGCTTTATCTGCAAGTTCAGTGGTGTGACTTGTTGGCATGATGATGAGAATAGGGTTTTGAGTATTAAGCTCTCTGGTTATGGTCTTAGAGGAGTGTTTCCTCTTGCGGTTAAGAATTGTTCTGATTTGACTGGTTTAGAGCTTTCTAAAAACAACTTCTCTGGACCTTTACCAACAAATCTTACATCTGTGATTCCACTTGTTACTACTTTGGACCTCTCTTTCAATAGTTTCTCTGGTGAAATCCCTGTTAGTATCTCAAACATTTCGTTTCTGAACTCGCTTATGCTTCAGCATAATCAGTTCACTGGTCAGCTTCCTCCGCAGCTAGTGCTGCTTTCCAGGCTTAAAACGTTCTCTGTGGCTGATAATCGTCTTGAAGGTCCTATCCCGAAGCTTAACAGTTCCCAAATCAACGCGGAGAGTTTTGCTAATAACTTGAATTTGTGTGGTAAGCCTCTGGATGATTGTAAGAGTTCTGCTGATTCTCGTACTAAAGTTGTTGTTATAGCGGCTGTTGGTGGATTGACTGCGGCAGCGTTAGTCGTTGGGGTTGTTTTGTTCTTCTATTTCCGTAAAATGGGTGTTGTTAGGAAGAAGCAGGATGATCCTGAAGGTAACAGATGGGCTAAGAGCTTGAAAGGACAGAAAGGCGTTAAGGTAATAATAAACCTCATTGATTTAGGAACACATGCTGTATTTTGCTGTATGTTGTTATGTTCTGAAATTTATGATATATGTTTCAGGTTTTCATGTTTAAGAACTCGGTTTCGAAGATGAAATTAAGCGATCTTATGAAAGCAACAGAGGAATTCAAGAAAGATAATATCATTGGAACTGGAAGAACAGGGACTATGTACAAAGGAGTTCTTGAAGACGGGACTCTACTTATGATAAAGAGGTTGCAGGATTCTCAACGTTCTGAGAAAGAGCTTGACTCAGAGATGAAGACTTTGGGTGCTGTAAAAAACAGAAACTTAGTCCCTCTCTTGGGGTATTGTATCGCGAATAAGGAGAGGCTTCTGATATACGAGTACATGGCAAATGGTTACCTTTATGATCAGTTACATCCAGTGGATGAAGAATCCTTCAAGCCCTTGGATTGGCCTTCAAGGTTGAAAATCGCGATTGGGGCGGCAAAAGGATTGGCATGGCTTCATCACAGCTGCAACCCAAGAATCATCCATCGCAACATAAGCACGAAATGCATATTGTTGACTGCGGAATTCGAGCCCAAGATTTCAGATTTCGGTCTAGCTAGGCTGATGAACCCAATTGATACCCATTTAAGCACATTCGTCAATGGAGAATTCGGGGATTTCGGTTATGTTGCTCCCGAGTATTCAAGAACCATGGTTGCAACTCCCAAAGGAGATGTCTACAGCTTCGGGGTTGTGCTTTTAGAGCTAGTAACAGGGCAAAAAGCAACGAGTGTGACCAAAGTGTCTGAAGAAGCTGAAGAAGAAAGCTTCAAGGGTAATCTTGTGGAATGGATTACAAAGCTATCAAGTGAATCGAAACTGCAGGACGCGGTCGACAGGTCATTACTTGGAAACGGTGTTGACGATGAGATTTTCAAAGTGCTCAAAATAGGATGTAATTGCGTTCTACCTGAAGTACCAAAGCAAAGGCCTACCATGTTTGAAGTGTATCAGTTTCTGAGGGCCATTGGAGAGAGCTACAACTTCACCGTCGATGATGATATCTTAATCCCCTCTGAATCAGGTGAAGGTGATTTCATCGAGGAGCTCATAGTTCGCTGATGAAGAGGAAGGGTGAGACATCTTTAGTCGTAGCAGTCCAAAGTTATATATATATACATAAGTAAGTATTGTTTTCTTTTATTTTTGGGTTCTCCTTGTTCATGGTGTGGTTGTAATGTTATATATTGTTAGGTGCACTCTTATCATCACTACTACACTGAGCTTTTGGTGTTGTAGTATAGTCACTGGTTTGGTTTTGTTTTGCCACTGCGTTGTTTCTTATTTCTAAATTTTGAGAGCCAATACAAGGCGAAAAGAATCTCGACGTTGAGATGCAACAAGTGCATTGTAGAATATGGCGAAAAAAATTGGCAGTCAAAAATAATGGGAAATACTAAAACTTGGAAAAATAATGTATATGACTAAAGTGAAATAATTACATGACTAATGTATATGGTATAAAACAAATGTTTTTATAGAAAAATTCTTGACATACATTGTTAAACAGATTATTAGTTTCAGAGTCCGTTTTAACCTTTTAGCCATGTAATTATGAAATGTGTGATAAAGATAAACACATTCATGATTTGGTCAAGAATACTCTTATATCACTATGCACTTTCTTCGATTGAAAATACAAACTCGCTAAAGCTATCCGAACGACATGATATTATATATGTACCTGTACACTAATAATATTCATAAGACTCGGTATATTTGCATTTTATATGGAACGATGTTATATATATATATATATTTATAGATATATATGTATAAGCACTTAATCCTAATTGATATCTATAATTAGGTCAATAACAGTCGATAATTAACGTGAAAACTTTTATAAAAACGTCTTTATGGAATATGAATAAGCAAGAGACTCTCTTATTCTCTTGGTGATAATTTATATTTTTTATTAACTTCTCGTTTGAGTATTTTATTATATTAAATCTTTAATTCTCGCAAGATTTAGGTTACCAATTTATATTTAATGGAATAAATGACGACAGTAATATTTTGTATAAGAAAAGAACCAAAAAATTTTTTGTTTATCTAATTAAAACAATAATAAAGGCAGATTAAACAAAAAACATTTTATATTTTCAAAAGAAACTATTTTCTATTAACATAAAATTTTAGACTTACAACTAATTTGTTTGCTGTATATTTTTATTTTGAAAATAGGATTCTTTGATATTTTTACTCATATCTTATTACATATAATTTTATATTTAATACAATAATTTCTTATAATTTTGTTTGGTAAGTTACTACTTGATTAAAAGAAATAAAACTACTGTTAATATTTTTGAAAAGTTTAACATCTTTTTAATTCTTCATAATAACAATCCAACATAAGTCTTACCATTAACAATTCCTACCGATTACGTTTCATGGGAAAATAGAAGGAATTTTCCTTGGGAATTCCTAGGGCTATCTTACAAATTAGTTTTCATAGGAAAATAGTAATACAAAGTCCTTCAAAATTCCTACCATATATAACAATACTTATTTTTCCTTTCAAATTCCTTTTAATTTCCTACAAAAATTTTTACCACTTCAATTTTTTGAAAACAATCCTAAGTTTAAGGTAGGAAATATTTCGTAGGAGTTTTCGTAAGATTTTTTCATGTTTTCTTGTAGTGAATTATATATATAACTAATTCGTTGAAGAACCTTGTCTTGCTTCGGGAAAGTTTCATACTATTATCTATCTCTCCTTACTTAAAAGAGGCTTCTTCATCTCTTACAGCTCTTACAGAGAAAAATTGCCTTGATTCTGGAGATTTTAAGTGCTACTTCTTCTGTCCAAGAGAAAGAAGTATCGCAACGACAGTAAGAAAAAAATATCAACTTCTCATTTTTAGATGAGACACAGTTTCACTCGAGAATAAGTAGACTTTTTTAATGTTACACAAATTACATATCACATTTTTAAAAAATTACTTATATATTACTTTTTGTATATATTTTTAGAGAATTCATGAATAATGTAATAATTATTCCAAGAAGTGCAAATGTGGTTGCGGATAACCTGGCTCGTAAAGTATGAGTATTACCGCAGCCCGCAAAGTTTGTGAACAGTTATTATTAGTAAAAGAATCTCATTCTCATTAATTATGTAAAATGTACAATTGGGGGTTTATATACATATGACCAGGCCTAAACCAAAGCCTCTAAACCAGCTAATCTCAACTTATACAGACTCTAATTAAGCTATACAAAAGCAATGTACTATACAAGAGAGCATATACTATAATAGTCCCCCTCAAGATGGGGCAAATATATTTCTAAGACCCATCTTGCTTACCAATTGATTGAATGGAGCTGGATGCAGAGCTTTTGTGAAAGGATCTGCAAGTTGCAAATGAGTGTTGACATGAATAAGTTTGAACAAACCTGCAACTAACCTCTCACGAATACTGTGGCAGTCAGATTCAATATGTTTAGTTCTTTCATGAAACACAGAGTTGTTAGCAATGTGGATGGCTGCTGTGTTATCACAAAACAGAAGAGTAGGTTTGCTCAAAGGAATCTGAAGCTCTTTAAAGAACTGAGTCAGCCACATCAATTCATCAGTTGCCAAAGAAAGACTGCGATATTCAGATTCTGCAGAAGATTTGGAGACAACCTTTTGCTTCTTGGACTTCCAGCAAATGAGAGAAGTACCTAAGAACATGCAGTAGCCAGATGTGGATCTCCTTGTGTCTTTGCAGGAACCATAATCTGCATCAGCAAACACTTGAAGTTGACGCTCAGCTTGAGAAGAATAAAACAAACCTTGTCCAATTGTGCCTTTGATGTAGTGTAAAATGGTGTAGACAGCTTGTAAATGGACATGGCGAGGAGCTTCTGAATATTGGCTGAGCTTGTTGACAGCAAACGTGATATCAGGGCGCGTGATTTGCAGATACATGAGCTTGCCAATGAGACGCCTATATGCTTTGCTATCAACTAAGTCACCACCATTATCTTTGGAAAGCTTAACACTGGGATCCATGGGAACAGGGGATGGTTTGCAGCCTAAGAGACATGTTTCATCAAGCAAATCCAAAGCATATTTACGTTGGCAAATATGGATACCAGCTTCTGACCTGGCAATCTCCAAACCGAGAAAATACTTCAAGGGGCCAAGATCACGCAATTTAAAACTGGATTTGAGCTGAGTCTTCATAAGCTCCACGGCTGCATCATTGTTACTGGCGATGATTATATCGTCAACATAAACCAGAACACATAAGAAAAGAGCATTAGTGATTTTCATGAAACAAGTATGGTCACAATGAGACTGCACAAAACCCAGATCTGTAAGAGTGGTCTTAAACTTCAAGAACCACTGTCGGGAAGCCTGTTTGAGACCATACAAAGACTTCTGCAATCTGCAAACTGCATTGGGTGGCAGAGAGTCCCCCTGTTTTGATGAATACCCTGGAGGAAGCTTCATATATATTTCTTCATCTAAATCACCATTTAGAAAAGCATTAGAGATGTCTAATTGGTGAAGAGTGAAGCCATATATAGCAGAAACAGCAAGAAGAAGCTTCACTGAGGTGAGTTTGCAGACCGGAGAGAAGGTATCATTAAAATCAACTCCCTCTGTTTGAGTGTACCCCTTAGCAACCAATCTAGCCTTGTACCTCTCAATACTACCATCAGCATTATATTTGATTTTGTAAATCCACTTGCAACCAATGGGTGTTTTATTTGGAGGTAAAGTACAAATTTCCCATGTGTGAGTACTCTCCAATGCAGCAATTTCATCATCCATAGCTCCACACCACACATGAACTTCTTTTGCTTCAGTGTAGGTTGAGGGTTCTTTATTTTTGTCTATGGAAGTCAAGAATGAAAGATAAAGCACTGACACTTTATCATAAGAAAGGAATTGAGCAATTTCATGTATGGTTGAAGATCCTACTGAATGACAGTAGTAATCTTGAAGATAAGCAGGTTTCTTTGTTCTCCTATGCGATGTTTGAACAGAAGGTTCAGGAACATCTATGTTAGGACTAGCAGAAGGCATAGTCTCTAAGGAAGATGAAGATGGAGAAGTATCCTCAGCAGAAGATTGGTGAAGCATAGGAGAATTGCTATTAAGATCAGGGAAAGAGTTTTTAGCTTCCTGAGTTAGATCTATTTTAGCAAAAGGAAAGAGCTGCTCATGAAAAATTACATGTCTAGAGATGAAAACATCATTAGTAACCAGATCAAGTAATTTGTAACCTTTGTATCCGGAAGGATAGCCAAGGAAAACACAAGCACGAGCTCTAGGGTCAAATTTAAGCCTATTCTTGGGTGAAGAGGAAGCATAGCAAAGACAACCAAACACTTTCAATTCATCATAGTTAGGTGTCTTTTTAGTTATGACTTCATAAGGGCTTTTATCATCTAGAACAGGAGCTGGTAATCGATTAATAAGGTGAACAGCAGAAAGAACACAATCACCCCAATAAGCAAGAGGAAGATGTGATTGAAATAAAAGAGATCGAGCAACATTAAGAATGTGCTGATGCTTTCTCTCAACCACAGAATTTTGTTGAGGAGTTTCAGGACATGAATGGAAAGAGATAATTCCTTTGGATTGAAACAATTGGGTGAAATTAAATTCATGAGCATTGTCAGACCTAACCCCTTTAACTTTAGTCTCAAACTGATTCTCAACCATATTAAGAAAAGAAGGAAAAATATGGAGAACATCAGACTTATTCTTCATCAAATAAACCCAAGTTGCCCTAGAATGATCATCCACTATAGTGAGGAAATATTTAAAACCATCATTAGTGGGAACAGAAAAAGGACCCCAAGTATCAATGTGAACCAATTCAAAAGGAGTTGAACAGAGATTATTCTTCGAAATAAAAGGAATATGTTTTTGTTTTGCCAAATGACAAGTTTTACAATGAAATTCCTTTTGAAGTTTTGGTTCCTTTTTGAAATTTAAAAGATGAGAAAGAGACTGAAGCTTGTAAAAAGAAGGGTGGCCTAACCGTTGATGCCAGAGATCATGGGAGACGACAGAAGCAGCTACAAAAGACTCTTTAGTGGTTGAAGCATTGAGAGATTCAATGTCCAAGAAATAGAGATTAGCCACACGTTTACCCAACCCAATCATTAAGTCCCGAGAAAGATCCTGAAGAGCACAACATTTCTCATCAAACCAGATTTTACAACCCATAGCTTCAGTTAGACAGCCAACACTTAAAAGGTTGAATTTAAATTGGGGAATGAAAAGAACATCATGGAGAACAAGATGACTACCCAATCTAACAGATCCTATTCCAACAATGCTCACTAGACCCCCATTAGGAAGATTAACATTAGTATTTTTAAGGGTCTGAAAAGTTGAAAAAGAGGATTTATCATGACAGATATGGTTAGTAGCTCCTGTGTCTATCACCCAAGCATTAATAGCTATTAAGTTGCTATTGACAGAATAGGCATAAGGCCTATCAGCACTGGTAAAAGAACAAATGATAGAGGGGAAGAAGGTACCAGGTGCTGGGCCAGTGGTTAAAGAAGAAGAGGGCAGGGAAGACACTGAAACAGCATGAACTTCAGGTGTGATGGTAGAGCTATGAATTCTGGTGTTGAGAAAGGAGACTATCTGTTGCATCTGTTCTGGGGAGAGATCATCATTCACTTTAACATTATCCAAACCAGCAGGTGCAGCAGAAGAGCATTCAGAAGTAACATTGGCTGCAGTAGGTGCTGACTGGGAGAACTTGAACCTTGGATGTCCAACTGGATAGCCATTTTTCTTGTAACATTTGTCCATGACATGTCCAATTCTACCACAGAAAGTACAGACATGTTTATCCTTCTTTTGATAACCACCAGAAGATGTGCTCTGAGATGTTTGCTGAGAGACTTGAAATGCTGTAGAGTCTAAAGTAGCAGTCTGAGGAAGACAAGCAGACCTCTGAGAATCATCCTGATCCAGCATATTGTAAACCTCAGATAGAGAAGGCAAGCTTTTCTTCATAAGAATCTGGCTACGAACAGTGTCATAGTTGTTGTTGAGTCCCATGAGAAAGTCTATGACACGGTTTGTTTCTCTTTCAGCAAGTAAATCTTCAACAGATCTTGCAGTCACCTGAAGACTAGACAATTCTTCCCAAAGAGCTTGAGTTTTGGTGTGATACGAAGACAAATCCATACTTCCTTGACGAAGAGAGTGTATCTGCTGGCGAAGCTTGTAGAGACGTGGGAGATTGGATTTGTGATATCGAGTGTAGAGATCTTTCCAAATCTCTGCTGCTGTAGAAAAGTAGAGAATGCTGGAGTAGATCTGTTTCGAGACACTATTCAATAGCCACGACTTCACCATGCTATTACAACGTTTCCAAATCAGAAAGTAAGGATCGGATTCATCAGGTCGAACAAGAGAACCATCCACAAATCCTAGTTTGTTCTTAGCTTCGATACTAGTGGTTATCGCAACAATCCAGGTGCCATAATTGGTTCCATCTAAGAGATCAGGGACAAGAACGAGACCTGGATGATCGGAGCTGTGAAGGTGAAAAGGACTGTGGATATTGTCTGGAGAGTTCGAGATTTCAAAATGAGGAGTAGATGACTTGAATCGAGCATTAGAAACCGGATACGCAGAGCCAAGAGCATTACGCGACGGTGAAGAGCTACGAGTCTTGTCATGAGAGATCGGAGAATCGTTTTCCGGTAGATCTGGTGTAGAGGATCGATACTTCGAGTTCGTCTTTCGTTTTCCCATGGAGAACAGATGAGCTGAAATCGAACGATGAGAGGCGAAATCAAGCTGAATCTGAGGAGGAATCGAAAGAAGAGAAGAAGCGAAGACTACAGCAAAAGGATCGAGATCGGAATCGAAGAACTCCGGTAACGTAACAAACTTTTCCGGCAGAAGATCAGAAAAATTTGTTAGAGAGAACGAGAGTGTAAACGCTCTGATACCATATTAGTAAAAGAATCTCATTCTCATTAATTATGTAAAATGTACAATTGGGGGTTTATATACATATGACCAGGCGTAAACCAAAGCCTCTAAACCAGCTAATCTCAACTTATACAGACTCTAATTAAGCTATACAAAAGCAATGTACTATATAAGAGAGCATATACTATAATAGTTATCCTCATCATTGGCTTTCTTAAGTCAATCTATTCTATTTGTTGTCAAAAAAAAAGAATAATAAAAAAATGTAAGAATTAATAATTTATTATTTTAGGAAATGGATGTTGATAATACAATATAGTTTTACTAGATACATTGTGACCTTTCAAATATATTATTTGTTTCAATCGACACCAACTCCATAAAACCCTTAGAATCGATCTCTCCACTCGTTACGTCAAACAAAATCAACACATGAACCGTGAGACCATGATTATTGGTGGTTTCTTAGCAAATCTTAGATGATTTTTTTTTATTAATTAAATAGAAAAAACTGATTAAAAAATAAGAAAAGTATCTTATTTAAGAGACATTTACACAAACAAGCATACAACCCACAATGAACCACACAGTACCCACACATCCAATCCTGTCTCAAATCAACATACACACTAAAACAAGGCGTGATCAGTCATCACCATGCACTCACTTCTATTGATTTTCAACTAAGAATAGCAAGAACACAACCCTTTATGAATTAGTGTTTAACAAACAAAAAAAAGTGTTGATTGTGAAATTAGTAGCAGAAAAAAACATACAAATTAGAGCAAAAGAAATGTTTAATGATAGAATCAGACAAAGTGTAGCTTTTAAGTTAAAATCTTATAAAAGAAAGAAACAGTAGAGAAGCTCCAAAGTCAATGGAGCTAAAATAAACCCCAATGACCTTCCTTTGAATGATTCACCAGCTTCTCTTTCACCTTCCCCTTCCATCTTCAAAAAACTCAGAAAGCTGAAAGCTTCTCACTTTCTTCATCCAACCATGAATTCTCCGAGACCCATCTCCGTCGTCTCCACCTTCGCCTCACCATCCTCCCCTTGTGACTCAACTAAGAAGCCTCTAAGCTTATGGCCCGGTATGTACCATTCACCTGTCACCACAGCTTTATGGGAAGCCAGATCCAACATCTTCGAATCACTTCTCGATCCTCCTCTTAACGCTCCACCTCAGAGCCAGCTTCTTACTAGAACCCCTTCTCATAGCCGCACCACCATTTTCTACCCTTTCTCCTCTGATTTCATTCTCCGGGAACAGTACAGAGATCCATGGAACGAGGTCCGAATTGGGATCTTGCTTGAAGATCTCGATGCTTTAGCTGGCACTATCTCTGTCAAGGTATCCTCAATTTTGTGTTTTTTTGCTAAAGTTCGATGCTTTTTAGGATTTTGTGATCTTATTCTGTATCTGTGTGTGTACATTTTGATTCAGCATTGTTCTGATGATGATAGTACAACGAGGCCACTGTTGCTTGTTACAGCTTCTGTTCATAAGATTGTGTTAAAGAAGCCAATTTGTGTTGACATTGATCTCAAGATTGTTGCTTCTGTTATTTGGGTTGGTCGCTCATCTATTGAGATTCAACTTGAAGTTATGCAATCCGAAGACAGTATGTATAGATATTGTCTACAAATTTTCATCTACAAGCATGTTATCTTGAAGATACAATAAAACTAAAACACTTGCTTTTGTTTTGTGGGTGGTTTTGTTTTCAGAAGATGTCAAGGCTTCTGCTGATTCGGTTGCGCTAACTGCTAACTTCATTTTCGTGGCGCGTGATTCTAAGACTGGTAAGGCTGCTCCTATCAACCGGCTTTCTCCTGAAACCGAACTTGAACAGCTTATGTTTGAGGAAGCTGAAGCGAGGAATAACTTGAGGAAGAAGAAGAGGGGAGGTGATAGAAGGGAATTCGATCACGGGGAGTGTAAAAAGCTACAGGCTTGGTTGGCTGAAGGAAGAATTTTCTCTGACATGCCAGCTCTTGCAGACAGGAATAGCATTCTCCTGAAAGATACTCGTCTTGAGAATTCGCTAATATGCCAACCACAGCAGAGGAACATCCATGGGAGGATCTTTGGAGGGTTTTTAATGCACAGAGCATTTGAGTTAGCCTTCTCCACAGCTTATACATTTGCTGGTTTAGTGCCCTATTTCTTGGAAGTTGATCACGTCGATTTCCTAAGACCAGTCTGTATCCAAATCACTTCGTAGTATCTTCTTCTTGTTCACGTTCTCCTTCTGTATATAACTAATGCTGAATGGACTTGCATGATAGGTGGACGTTGGGGACTTCTTACGTTTCAAATCCTGTGTGCTTTACACTCAACTGGATAAACTGGATTGTCCGCTCATCAATATCGAAGTTGTTGCCCATGTTACAAGTCCAGAGATTCGTTCCAGCGAGGTAAAATCCTAACTGGATGATGGGATCTTTCTTAAGATCATTTTAAACTCTTGAGTCTTTAGAAAATATGCAATTTCATGCCAATGTCTTAAACCATATCAAGTTTGAAGCTCATTATGTCTATTTGAGGTCTCTTTCTCTGTTGTATATGATGTAGGTTTCAAATACATTCTACTTTAAGTTCACTGTAAGACCAGAAGCAAAGGCCAGAAACAATGGGTTTAAGCTTCGAAATGTAGTTCCTGCCACAGAGGAGGAAGCTCGTCATATCCTCGAGCGCATGGATGCAGAAGCATTGAACTCAAGCAAACAACAAGTGTAGAAATAATAAAGATATCTATCGTGCTTTTGTGTTCTAAAACATTTGGCTTACCAGGTTTTATCCACTGACCACAAAAACTAACTAGAAATGTAGATGCATTTCTACTGTATCTAAACGATTTGCTAATATAACCAAAGATTTGGCTTACACCTGCAACCCATTGATTTGGATATCCAAACAGAATACATATTACCCTTTTGGGTGTTTTTTATACACCTGATGCAGCAGAAGATAGGTAGTAGAACAGGGTTTCTAGTTGAGAAATTGCAATAAGAAATGTCTTAAAATCAATACAACTTCAAGTGGAAGAGTGAATTTCAGAGTATGAAGATCTTTTGATTTTCCTAGTTAACCGAGAAATGATGGCTTAAAGTTTGGAAATTAACTGCAAAAGCTCACACTTAACACCTATGGATTTGTCTCAAGAGATGTTAGCAAGCATATGGGCTCTTTGCCCTTGGCTTGTGTCTTCTCAGTCTATCTTCTTCTGCAAAAGCAGAGACAAAGATCGCTGCAGTAAGACGATACCGTCCTCCTCGCAACGATCTAATGGAAAGCCACATAGAATGATCTTAGAATGAATTTACACTAAACTAAGACCAAGATTTAGAATGAAATTAGCATAACACCTACGAATGTCTTCCAAAAAAGTCATACAGAGATTCTCCAGATATGGCGTTAGTCATACCCGTTACAAGACACTAAAACTAGAGATACACTGAAACTAGAGATACGTTCCTAATCATTACATTAAAAATCTTACAATGGGAATCAGTCTCCCATCTGGTTACACACTTTGTCTAGAACAGACAAGAAGTCTCTCACAATCATGAAGATTCTCATTGTGTGACCTTCCTTGGAAGAATCTCCATTGAATTGCTCTGTGACTTCTTCCAATGCAGAGAGTGTTGAACTTTCTCGTATTTTAATCTTCACAATCTCCTCTGCAGCAGTTTTCAAGAACCTAACCATCTTCTCCCTGAACTTCAGCCATTGATCTCCACTTGCTCCACTCTCCTCGCTCAGTAGCAAAAGCTCCTCGATGTTCTTCAGTCCTTGACAAAGCTTCGAGACATCGCTTCTTAGAACACCATACTCAATGTCTGCTGATTTCTTGACATTGCTCAGCTCTGAATTCAGGTTTCTGATGCCTTCTAAAGCTCTCATACCGCCATCTGATTTTATTATTTCCTGAGCAACAAAATGCACGAGACTGCTTCTTCCATCGACAAGCTTGAAGAGCGTGTCAAGTTTGAAGTCATGAGCATCACCACAGTGGTTTGTTCCACCATTCATCATGTTTCCTGTCTTCAGTACACCATCGAGAAGTAAGGAGAACATTCTACTGTTACTTAGTTCTTCACAAGCAACCTGCAAAAGCAGATAATCTCAATGAGACATAACATAAGATTACAACATCAGACACATATACATAAATCTGTTATCTTAAGCCATTACCTGAACAACACTGAATGATTTTCTAAGACGTTTGATCTCGGATTGGAAATTAGCCACAAAGAGCAATGCCCCAACACGTTTGAACACGAAAGGCACATGAAGTAACTCCTTAAGGAACCTCTCAGCTGGACCAAGCTTGATGGAATCTTCACTAAAGCTCTTCAACCTTCTCTCTTCTTCTTTAGTAGGTGCCAATCTCAATAAACACTCAAGAAGTTCAGCTCCAAGTGCATCACAGTTACCTAAATCAAGAACACAAAATCAATAACTTTACAAAAACACATTGCAATATATTTAAAGATTATATTACCTTCAAGAATTGCTTGACAAACATCGTTTGTGGTTAAGTTAAGTAGTTGAAGCAGAGTAGCAATATTCTGAGCCTTTCTCGGATCTAAAACTTTGGTTTCTTGATTTAGAATAGGAAGATCTCTTGGGTTTGACGAGTTTGCAATGAACAAAGTCTCTACCATCTCCTTATCCAATCTAACACATAATCAGACAAATCAAACTACATTAAACTCATATCATAGACAAAAAAGGAAAGATAATAGCTTTCACTTTCTCTTACTTGAAAGAGCTCGATCTAAGACGATCCCAAGGCAGCTGTTTGGGAGGTTGGTCTGAGAAAGATAGTTTCTTTACATCATTCTGAACAACAAAAGGTTGAGACGGTGGAACAAGAGGAGGTGGTCTGGTCGGAGGAGGAAGAGCAGGAACTGTTGCTATTTTACTCTGTTGAGTTGAAGATTCACCAATATTGATAACAAAATCTCTCCTTGATGAAGCAGAGTGAGAAAGCAAAACAGACTTCACATTCCGACTAAAGTCATTCCAAATCGGCGGCGAACTATCAAGAAACTTCCGGAACAAACCATCAGGAGAAGTAGAAACTGAAGAGTAGAGAGAAGAAAGTGGTGTTCTAATGAATCCTCTATCTGGTGAAGTAGAAGCAGAAGAGATACGAGGAAACCCAAATCCCACATTTTGATTCCAAAAGCTAAACATTCTTAAAGACGCCGACCCGTTTCCGTTATGTTTCCTTACTCTTAGTCTCTCCGGTGACGGAGACTGAAGGTTAGTAGCGTCTGAGTATCTAGGGTTTGGTGGAGACATGTTCATAGAGAACGACCTAGCTGGAGAAACCCATCCAGAGCAGGAAGAAGAGCATGAATGAGATGGGCTTGAAGTCTCTGAACCAGGGAGTGAAGCCATAGGTGAAAAGAACACATCTTCTTCTTCTTCTCCGTCTTCTTCGTTAACCTCTGTTTCATAGTTATGCTGGAAGCTACGCAGTGGTAATGGTGGTAATGGTCGTATCTCCGGCGAATCTTGCTTCAAGAAATAAGTACCTCCGGTTCTTATATGTTCAGATTCCTCTGTATTGAGGTAAAAGACTTGTGAAGGAGATGTAGTAGCAGCCATGTTGAAGTTAGTAGTGATATGACTCTGTTCATCATCATAGCTGCTTGTGTTGCTACTAGGACAATGACTGTTCTTAACATGACGGTTTTGTCCTTGGTACCGACCGTATAGAAACAAAGCCAATCCCAAGACTGTGGCTACAGCAAGAACGGCGGAGATAGCTGGAAGGAGAAGAGTAGGAGAAGCGTGGTGTGGTTTAGAAGAGCGAGGGAGGACTAAAGCAGAGATGTTAGCCGGAAATGTAGGGAAGACGGCGAAGGTAGGAGGAGGAGGAGACGGAGGAAGAGGAGGAGGAGATGAGGAGGAGTAGGTAGGGAAGAAAGGAGGACTTATGGGAGAGATAGGAGGAGGAAGTGGTGAATCGTAGTCATAGAGGAGACGACGGCTTAGAGTAACGGCGGATGCGTAGGTTAAAAGAGACGGTGGTGCGCATATTAGCAAGAAGATGAAGATGGCGAACCAAAAGTTCTGCATTTTTCTCTGCAAAGCTTCTCTCTCTCTCTCACTCAGACACTGTTAATGGGGGGCACTACTATTATGACTGTACCCTTGTGACTTTGAGCTATGAGTAATAATAATATTACTATTTACATTTTGTGGTTATTTAATAAAAACGTGACACTGACACAGAAGACCACTAGGGCCAGTCGTAAAGTAAACTATACAAATATTAATAATAATACGAATTTTTGTGTATTCGTGAAGATTTAGTGAATCCATGTAAAGAGTGTGTATAAGATATGTGTAATAATTACTTGAACTTCGAAGTTATTTATTTACCCGTCGTTCAAAAGAATCTTTTATTTTTATTTTTCTTGACTTTTTCTGACTCGTTCACCTATCCAATACATGGTCTTTATTTCTTTTACATGGATAACATCAAAGAGTTTGTACTATTACTCTTTGGCATATTCAAATATCATTTTCACCATCAATGACAATGGCATAGAGGCTCATTTCTATTGGGTTGTGAGAGCCCAAACACTTATCTTCAAAAGTTGGCTTAAAATAAGCCCAAAGTTAAACTTTATTGAGAGATGCTTCATGAACATATGTTGTACATATCAATGGTGAATATATGATTCTGTAAAGAAGTGTAACATAGAAACCAATTAGGTTGATCATCTTTGAACTACTTCTTTTGTTTAGTAAAAGAACTCACAGAAGTTGAGTTTGTACAACCAATATACCTTTACTATTTTTGACATCTTAGAAGGGTGTGTCTGAATCATTTTTGTCTAGCTAGTAACCACTTCATCCATATCGACAAGCAATACTTTGCGATGTGTTCTGGTAAATCCACCTGAACAAAAAAATCATCTCAGATAAGAAACATGTCTATTATACGAAAACAGAGTAAACAACAAAAGGAAACTCACAGTGGTCCATGTTGCAGTAAACCCATCAGTAGATAGCAACCAACTTCGACTTATTTGATGCACACCTAAAAGCTCATCATCATCACCAAGATCATCATCATCATCATCATCATCAAAAGCCTTCTTCTTTTTCTTCTTTCTTTTCTTCTTCTCCTTCTTGTGCCTCTTTTTAGAAACCCGGCTTCTACTATCTGAGTCGGATTCGCTTTCTTCAGAGAATCCCTTATGGCTTAGCAATGAATGGTCACTAGACCTTCGGAATTCAATCCCATTTTCTCTAAATAGAAGCTCCCATGAATCTGGCGTCTGACATTCCTCTGATAGTCTGAAGTGAATAGTCCAAGAAAGTAACCCGAGTAATTTTATCGTCTCTACGTGTTTCATCTTCGAGAGATCTCTCAGAATCAGAGAAAAGCTACTGCCGTTTTCCAAACCTCTGAAGATCTCTGCCGTGGTTTCTCTCAACAACTCTTCCTCATCATTAAGGTTCTCATCACGCACAAGTCGTAGCAACTGACGACCTTGGTTGATAACAGAATTCACCAATAGCAGCTCGTCAATAGGTTCCGTGTCGACATAGTATGAAAGAACAACCCCGAGCCAGCAAGACGAGTCACAACTATCCCAGGATTCAATTCTTGGCGCGAAATAGTTGCCAAGCAATTCAAGAAATCGACAAAAGTCACGTTCTTCAAGAGTAATAAGAAGATGCTGAGTTAAAGAAGAGAAAGACTCCTCTGTAAGAAACTCCTCAACAGCATCCCACACATCATTCATATCTTCCTCATACATAAAACGGATAAACAGATCTCGAAAGAACTTGGTATCAAGAAACAAAACCTGCCCGTCGTTCAGCGACTCAGCAAACTCATTAGAAGACCAAAACTCCGGAACATTGTCAAGAAAATTCTCAATAGTTCGTTCAACATCCAAATCAAGAAAATAATGAGGCTTCGTGGCAACAACCGCAGGCGATTGCCCGTGTTTCCCCCGCCACTCAAGCTCTTCCCAACAAGTATCCCTATTCGCAAACGCAAACTGCGCCAATGCTTTCGCTCCTCGTTTATGATCAGACCCACCATCATAAGCAAAATCAGAGAACCACTCTAGTATACGCTTCGGATTCCCTGCATATATCACAAAACTCAACATCAAACACAATTTCACAAGATAATGTAAAACAATGAGAGAGAGATAAAAACTTAACCTTCAAAGAATCTCTCAAGTATATAACTTCTTTTAGCTAACAAAGATCCAAGCTTCCTTGGTCTCTTTTCAAACATCATTGTCAGAAGCTGAGATACAAACTGAATCATTCTAGGTTTTGATCTTAACAGCTTCATGAAAATACTAAGTTGTTTCCTAGAGGATATGTTAACAGAAGAAAGAGCACTACAAAGCCAAAGCCTAGCTTCTGATCGACCTCCACGAGTCACTAACGATTGAATTTGAGAACCTAATTTGTTCAACAGAGGTAATATCACATCGATGTTGCTGCTGCTGCTACTGTTTTGGGCAACATCGTTCAACAATGGTTCAGATAAGAACAAATTCACCATTTTCTGATCGAACAACAAAAAATACGATATGGGTTTTATGAGAAATCAACAGATCATGAGAGAAATCAACAATTGAAGGTGAAAGCCCTAAATCATATTCCAGAATACGTAACCGAAAGATTCAAAATTTAGGGTTTATACACGAGAATGAGTTTTGAGAGAGGATTTGGGAAAAGAAACAAGAACCGAATCTGTTGTTTATAACCGAGCTGCTTTTGGTTCGCAACGTTCCCCACAGACCAAACGGTTATTTGATAGTGGTTCGACTCAACCGGTTCTATTTAATTAAATATGAATTTTTATGGAAAATTGTTTGAAGTACCATGAAAATAGGTATTTTTTCCAAAACTATTATTAAAAGTTTTATTTTCTAAAAATACTACTAAAATACATTATTTTCCAAATATACCACATAACTAAAACTAATTTTTTCAACATTCAAAACTAATTTCTAAATACTATATATTAAACAACACCCCTAAAAACTATACCCTAAATATAAATAGTCAACCCAAACATTAAAAAAATAAAAATTCTACACCTTCAAAAATTAACTTTTTATGTTTATGGTATTTTTGGAAAATAAAACTTATTTGGTATTTTTAGAAAAAAAAAAAGTGGTAATTTTGGAAGAAAAATTAAAATGATGACATTCAAGAGAATTTCTCAATTTTTATTGGATAATATTTGAATTATAAGCTATAAATCAGATTTGTATAATTGAATCACACATTTTATATTTTGTAAAAACAATCTAATAATCTATTTCATAGTAGTAAATTTAAAATTTTACTTTTTATGGATAAGATCTAAATCTTTTATATATAATCCTGTTAGAGATTGTAACAATCACTTGTATTACTTGTGTCAGTCACTTAAATTCTTGATACTTTATTAGAAAAAGAATTAGAAAATGAAATAAATTGAGAATTTATTATTAATGAATAAAGCATTGTAACATAAGCGTTGTAATCATTTTGTAATGGTTACAACTTGGTGACCTTGGAACAGCCCGCCAATCGACAACTGAGTTCAGTTCTGTAGTAATCCGATGATGGCTTTGTTTGCTGAAGCCAATACCTTCATTGGTTTTAAAAGCACATGTAAGAAATTGAGATTGGCCTCACCTAGTGAGGTGGTAGTTTACCCCACGCATCCCCACCATAATACATCACTGGTCTTTCTGTTAAATTAGATCAAAACACACAAAGATCAATGTATATATTTCAGTATTGTTCATCTCCAAGACAATCAAAAGCTATCTTAAAAACGATTTTCTTAAGATAAACTCACCTGACAAATCAACACTAGGGTCATTGTAGAGATGCATTGCAGCTGCCCAACCTAAAAATCAGAATAGTAAAACTGCTTTAAACTGAGACACAACACACATATACAAATCAACTACTTGCATCATTAGAACTCTGCTAGGATCAGAATCTAAAACTTTCTTAATTGTAAAACACAAACCGAATCAAAGAAGAATCTACAACTTAGCAAAACCTAAACCAAGGTAATTGTAACTAAAGGGTGAATTCGAAAGCACCCTAACTCTCTCAATTCCCTAAACCAGACCCAATTACTCATAATGTTCGGCAATGAGTATTCTTCGATGTTACTCTTTATCAATCTCCTGAGTCACACAATGAGTATACAATTTTCACCCTAGGACACAACACACATATACTAATCAAGTATCAGAAACTCTCCTAAGATCAGAAACTAAAACTTGCTTAATCGTAAAACACAAACTGAATCAAAGAAGAATCTACAGCTTAGCAAAACCTAAACCAAGGAAATTGTAACTAAAGGGTGAATTCTAGAGCACCCTAGCTCTCTCAATTCCCTAAACCAGACCCAATTACTCATAATGTTCCGCAATGAGTATTCTTCGATGTCACTCTTTATCAGTCTCCTGAGTCACACAATGTGTATACAATTTTCACCCTAGGACACAACACACATATACAAATCAAGTATCAGAAACTAAAACTTGCTTAGTCGTAAAACACAAACCGAATCAAACAAGAAATCTACAACTTAGCAAATCTTAAACCAAGGTAACTATAACTAAGGGGTGAATTCTAGAGCACACTAACTCTCTCAAGTCTCTCAATTCCCTAAACCAGATACAATTACTCATAATGTTTGGCAATGAGTATTCTTCAATGTTGCTATTATAGTATTATCAATCAATATGTAGAGTATTTTCACCCTAGGATACAAGAGGCACATAAACACTACACTGACAATCATCAAGCTCGTAAACTAATTAGAGAACTAGCAAAGAAAGACAGTGAAAAGACTAAACAGAAACCAAAAAAACACTTACGATTACTGAGAAGCTGAAAAGCTTCACTCTTAGAGTCAGAGCAACCCTCTATAGATATAATCTTTGGAGTGACAGAGTTTTCCCTCTGAAAACCAACAGCAACAGGCTGACTTCTCTCGCCGCCCTCGTTGCTACTGAAGCTTCCTGTACCATCCAAATTCATCTCAATTTAACACTTACTCTAACCAATAATGGAAAAAAAAAAAACCACACACACACAAACATTACATAGCAAGAGTGGTTGATCTCTCAACACAGTAACTACCATATATGAATTACAGAGCAACTAGCTTACTATTAAACCAGGTGGACAAGTCACAAGTGTCTCTATATAACCAAGAATGGAAAAAAAACCAAACACACACACATTACAGAGCAAGAGTGGTTGATCTCTCAACACAAGTGTCTCTATAATTGATTATATCTATTAAACCAGTGTCTCTATACAATGAGATAAGGTATATTCCTCTAGATTCGATATTCTAGTTTTACCAATAGAAGTAAAGAAGAGAGAGAGACTACGAACCTCGTGATCTCCTCCGGTTTGAAGAACGGTTCCTACGAGACAAAGAAGGGATCTGAGAAATCAATTTAAAGCGAAGGAGAAGGAGAAGGAGAAAGAGAAGGAGAGACGTAACCTTTGGTTAGGTGGAGTGTATCGTTTAGGTACGGAGGAGGAGGTTGAATCCACCGTAGAAGATGATGAGTTAGGGTTCTCCATTTTAAGAAGATCTGTGACAAGCTTTCGTATTTCTGCGTTGAGGTCCTAATAAAAAGTCTATAAAACCCGAAAAATACTTGGTTTATTCTTTTTTGAAGGTTAATCCTAAATTTTTTTTTTGGAAAAAAAAAAATATACCGTAAAATCTCTATATATTAATACTTTATAAATTAATAAACACTATAAATTAATAAACACTATAAATTAATAAATTTTGTTGGTCTCAAATCGGGCCAGTCTAAAAAATTGATCAAATTCGATAAGATAATAAGATAATATTTTTTTTTGAAATTCTTATGTAAAATATAGTCCAAATAATATCATAAATTAATAATTACTATATATACATATATATATATATATATATGTTTTTAGTTTTTGTAAAAATCAATTTTCTCCTAGAATTCACCTCAATAAATAATTTTATGTTAGTATATTTTTAAATATAATATTCATTTTCAAACTATTGTATAACTTATAATATCTAACAGATTAGTCTTAATTTTGTAAAATTGTGTCAATTCATATTTTTAAAATTTTTGAGAAATTATAAATAAAGCTATAAATTAATAAATATTAATTTACACAATAAAATAATAAATATTAATTTATAGATAACTTAATATCACTATAAATTAAAATCATAGTCCTAACATTATTAATTTATAGAGGAATTACTGTATACTAGTTAGCTGAATATAGCTGAATATACATTTTCAATAAGTAAATGAAGAATATAACCCAATAAATATCTTATATAGTAAAAGAGGAGTATACTTTTACATTACAGATTTTTTCAATGTAATTTTACAAAACTGTCACCATTTTAAACAGTCTTTCAATGAGTCATTAATGGTAATTTTGTATTTTTAATGTTACTGGATCGGGTCGATTTTGAAATTAAACCCGAAATTATACGATGGATATTAGCACTATGGATAATCCAAAATCCTAGGAGCAGACCCGTGAAATTTAATGGTCCGCAAATGTTACAAACAATTTTCTCTTTTTTTATCTTTGGTTCATGTTCAAAGGGATCAAAATACTACTGCCGACAAGTTTAGCTCAAAGGGCTTCTTCTTCTAATTCATTGTTCCAAACTTTTATTGTTCCACCGTCGTGATTTATTAACTACTTGTATGACTCTGTTTAATTCTAATATAAGAGTAAGGCGCTAAAAACAAAATTGAAACAGCTATTGTGGTGTCTTTAAAAAGATCAATGAAACAACTATTGTGATAACGGAGCTACCGATAGGCAAGTGGACAAGGAAGTATATGCGTTTCTTGCAAGATCTGAAAAAGAAAGACTTAATCCAGGTATGTTTAAATTCACCCTAGGTTGAACCCTTTCATTCACCATATCTTTTTCTCACCCATCAGTTGCTGCCACCTAATAAACAAAAACCTCAATTAATTGTAAAATCTGACCCCGAATCACTCTTTCATAAAACTGAAACCATCATTTAATCACAGTGTAAAATCTAAACCCTAATTAAACCTAAATCAACATATATATAATCTCGTTTAATTGTAAAATCTAAACGCTAATCCTCATTTATAAACTTAAACCAACATATAACCTTGTTTAATTGTAAAATTTAAACCCTTACCGTCATTTATAAATCCAAACCTGTACATATAAGCTCATTTAATTATAAAAACCTAACACTATTCTTGTGTGCTTTTCTGATTTTAATTTTCTCTTTTTGCAGGGGTTCAAAAATGATAGTGATGATAAATCGATAAACATCACAATTACTCTTACCAAAGAGAAGATGAAGGAAGTGTCGCACAAGGGAATTCAGAAAACTTTCAAGCTCAGCACAACTATATCAACAGGGAACATGAATTTACTCCAAACAGCCGGATCTTTATCTCACATAAAGAGATATAACACTCCGAAAGAAAGTAAGAAAAAAAGCACATGTAATCGTTATGTTTTCTTCTTTATAAGGTTATCAATTTTACATCCCATCGTGCAGTACTTGAAGATTTCGCTGTCTAATATGAAATAAAAAATCTAATCAATATTAATTGAATATCATATTTTCTAATAGAGATTAGGACCCTACTAATAGAAGGATTATTTATTTTAAAATTACATTTATATTACAATTTTATTTTAAGAATATCATATCCAAAATATTTTAAAATCAGTAAAAATTTCTTTTATTGAACAAACTAATGTATGTATCATACATATTTAAAAATTGTTATTAAACATTCAGTATAAAAATTTAGCAATTATGCCCTAAACTGATTATAACACTATTCTAAAAAATGTTATTTCCTAAATTCCAGTTTTTTTTGAAAAAATCTCGCATATATTTTCGACTGCGCAATTTACTGTATTTCTTACATTAATTAATTATTATAAAATTTGATGGTAAATTTCGTACAAATTAACATCAATCCAAAAAAATGAGTTATAATGTCGTTGAGTAAAAGTTTAAGATTTTTATTTAAATAAGAAAGTATACAAAATTACATATTTGAAAAACAATTATTTTAGAAATCATTGTAGTACGAATTATGTTAATAATTAACTTATTTAGATTAACTTACTAAATGATATTTAAACATTACAATATTCTCGATAATGCAATTATTTTCTAAGATTAACTTATAGTTAACTAACTTACTCTATTTTTCTTTATTTGTTATTTTTTTTCTTTGGACCTAATTTTATAAATAATTTTATTTTATAATCACTCTCCTTTTTCTCTTAGGATTACTAGTAAGTAATTGTTAAATTTCCTGAATTTTTATTTTCTTCATTCAAAATATTCCTTTTTGAAAACTGATTTATATAATCTCTTACTTCTAATTTTTTGACACGTGTCAACATTTTATTAATTCAATTAATACAGTAGCATATACAGAATTTGGGGGAAAAACAAACGAGTTGGTATCAACAATAATCAGCTTACCTAAATCTGAAATTGGATTTAGAAATCGACATACAAATATGTGTTGGGTCTGAACGCCTTTGCTTCAAAGTAGATTGAATGTAACTTAATCAGAGCTCTACAAGAGAATATCTTCATCTGATTTCGAGTATGGTTACTTGTGCGTAGGCGTCTTAGCCGGATCGCGGCTTCAATTTTGCTAATTTGGAGTAGAATTGAATCGATATTGATTCGTGAAGAACAATTGTTGAGAACGAAACAATTTTCTTTTTCTATTATTGACAGAAGGAAACGTTTATGGTGTTTGTTGTTTAACATTTTTAGGGGAAAAAATCAGGATATTTTCCATTATAATATAGTAATTAAAACTAATTTCATTTGGACATCGCATGTTCAATGGTGACATCCATTAAGGGTGTCTAAAACAATTAATTATGATGTTTTATGAAAAAATAATTTTTTAGGCACTCTAAATTAATATAAAATTTTGACCCATCCAATGGAAACACTCAATGAGATGTTTTAAAAAAATTGTACATCGAAATTATATTAATAAACTCTTAAAACATAATACATATATGCTAATCTATTTGTAGATAAACTTTTAACCTCATATATGTTAACTATATATTCCAAGTAGAAACAAACATATATATACTAGTTTAAATTAATATTAAAATTTATTATAACTTATAAAAAAATAATTTCCAATTTTTTTTTGAAAAATAAGAGAAATTAATTTCATTTGGAAAGATATTTTATTTGGTTTGAAGTATCAAATAAACGTGTATATATATATATATATCTCTTAAAATTCGTTATTAAACGTTAATTATAAAAATCTAGTAATGTCAAATTGACAATCACCAAAACATTTGGGAGCTATTGGGAGCTATTCACCCATTACTCCTAATATTGCAAAAATATTTTAAAAGTTCTTAATTTAGCAATTATCCTCTAAAACATGATTATACCATTTTGTAAAAATATTTATTTCTTAACTTTCAATTTTTCAAATAATCATTCTCAAACTATGAAAATTAATTAATTATTATTTAATATGATGGTAAAGCTCTTTCAAATTAACATCAAACTAAAATATGATGTTAAATACAAATATATTCATTTGTAAATAAATTCATATAAACAACGCAAATAAACATAAAGATTCTAAAATAACTTATAGCATCGTTGAGGAAAACATTAAAAAATCTATCAAATACAAATTATAAAAAACTACATATTTTTTACAAAAATATTTTAAAATTACTATATTACGATTTATATTAAACTTTGTTATCTTTAATTTAAGCTAAAAATATTATTTTCCAAAATATTTTATTCACCCTTATGTTTTAGACAATGAAATTGCTCAATGGCATAATACATTCATACATAAATTAAAAATTAAACAAATATAACATATTATAAATAAAAATCATGAATAAAATTATGTGTTTAGTTAAACTCAAAATCTAATTTATTTGTAAACTGTAAATCATAATTCTCCTTTATGAACCCAAACTGATAAATAACCTTGTTTAAATGTAAAACATAAATCTCAACCTCTTTAATAAACCCAAACTGATAAATAATCTCGTTTAACTATGAAATCTAAACAATAATGCAGATTTATAAACTCAAAATTATAATTGTAAAACCTACAAATGGCAAAACCAAAAATTAGGTTAATAGTTGAAAGAAATTTTTTGAGAAATACTCCTTTTGGTGTACCTTTTTAAAAAATACACCAATTTTCTGTTTATAAGGTACATCTAGATCATCATTACTATTGGGAGACTCAATACAAATATTTATAAAGTTTTAAAAAGGTTCTAAACGGCATTTATAAGAATTTTATAAGGTTTTTATAAGGTTTACAAAGTTTTTATATGTTTTTTAAATAATTTTTAAAAGGTTTTTAAAAGGTATTTATATGGTATTTAAATTTACACACATAGGAAGATAATTTGTGTCTAAATATATAAGCTTACACATTGTTTTTTTTTTAAATATCAATTTTTTACTTTTTAATTATCAAAAATACCCTTTTTCCATACCACTTTTTAAAAATACCCCTATTTCAAACTTTATAAAAAAACCACTTTAAATGTTGAAATTTATCCAAATATGTGTGTAAACTTATAAATATACACACAAATTACCTTTATATATGTTTAAAATTTTTATATATCTTTCATAAATAGCGTAAAATAACTTATAAATACCTTTTAAAAACCTTATAAACCCTTTTAAAAACCACTTAAAAACCGTATAAAACTTGTAAAACGATTTAAAACATTATAAAATTATTTGTATCAAATTTCCAAGTAGTAGTTATTATATAGAAGTGCCTTATAAACCATATAAAACTTTATAATTTTTCATATTTAAACATGGATAATATTGAAAATGGATAGATAAATGAGGTATTTTTGAAAAGGGGTACACCAAAAGGAGTATTTCTCAATAATTCTCTTTAATTTTTTATAATTATTTTTAATGATGTTTAAAAATTCTATTTGTATCTTAATATTAAAAAAAAATATTTATAGCATGTTGCGACATCTTATGTTTTACTTGACACTTATCATGATCACGTGAGTTAGTAAATTTAAAAACCAAGTTTCGACATATTATCTCGTTTAATTGTTAAACTTAAATCATAATTTTAATTTATAAAGTTAAACAATAATTCTTATTTATCATTTATATACCCAAACCAACAAATAACCTGATTTAATTGTTAAATTAGAGTTTAAACCTTAATCCTCTTCTGTAAACAAAAACCGCCATATATTCTTGTTAATTATAAATTTTAAATCCCTATCTTATTAATAAACCAAATTGACATAGCTGAAATTAGGTTATTTGTTTAATTTTATTTATGATTTTTAATATATAATTCTTTATAATATTTATTTTATATATTATTTTTCGATAACGTTAATAATATTTCTATTTTATCCAAATATTAACAAAATTAGTTATGACACGTGTCAACATCTTATCGTTTATAATTGACACGTGTCACGATCTTGTTAATGGCTGACTTTGAAAACCAAGGTTTATATAATAAGATATATATATATATATATATATATATATTTTAACTTCTGCAATTATTTTTTTTTTACCCTAATTGAAAACCATTAAATCAAAAACAGCAAAAAAGAGAAAATAAAAAAGCATAATAAATATATAAAATCGGAGAGAGAGATGGAGAGAAAGGGAGAGCCGGAGAGACAAAATGAGAGAGAGACTTAATTGAATTTTTCCTTTTCTTTTTTGTTTTTGTTTTTTTTCCTCCCACCATGATGGTATTTTAGAGAATGCCCCTTAATTTTAAAGTTGACAAGAAAAAATTATACTTAAACAGCTAACAAAAATATAAACCAAATATTTTCGGTTTTTACATTAAAGTAATATAACTAATACAATAGTAAGATGAATTTAAAATATTCTTCTGGGTATGTAATTTAAGGTTTAGTTTATCAAATTAATATACAAATTACTAGTGAGATATAAATAAATTTACATACAATCTACGTATTGTAGACTAAATTCACACATTTCAGAACAAAAAAAAAACACCAAAGATAATAAACAATTAATGGACATAAAAAAGACACAACAAAAAAAAACATTATTCTACAATAACAATACTGAACATGCACAAAACTACTGAAAATTTACTATAACACAAATAAAAAAACCAATTTTAACTTCTAAATAACATTACACTCTTCTAAAAATGTTAGCTTCAACCTATCGCAAACTACACTCTTATGCAAATCTAAAATAAGTACAAATATATTCTAAACAAATTAGTAGTTAAAATAAAAAATAAAAAAAGACCTGCGGTGTACCGCGGGTTAAAACCTTGTGATCTTGTTAATTGCTAACTTTGGAAACCTTTATATAAGATTTCGGTTTCGGATTCTAATTTGCCGAATTTTACCCGATCATATCCGAATTACCCGAACAACCTAACAAACCCGATCTGAATTTAACTAAAATTAGTATCTTTCGGTTTAGCGAATATCCAATTGTGTATCTCGGTTATAATCCGATCCAATACGAATCACATTGTAACATAAAAACCGATAAGGTTTTACTAAGCAACCGAAACCGATTTTTTAGGACTCGGATTATATGAAGAGGCTAAGTTAACAGTTTCAGTTAATGTCAAAACTCAAATGACATGTCTGGTCCGCTAATGTGTGTTCGGTTTAATGCTTCCTTCCGTGTAAAACTTGTATCAAATTTGTATAGAAGTACCCATAGCTAAATATACGTTGAAATAATATATGTGCATGAATCAATTGTTTTGTTGTGATGATGATGTTATGTGTAAACATGTAATCAAATAGCTTATTTTTTATACCCACATTGCCATGTAGTCATGTCATGTAGATGAGTTATAAAGTCATCCACATGGTCACATCAATGAGGTTCCATGTTATTCTTTTTCAGCCATCATATTAGTCTAGGCACTAGACGGGGCTATTCAGCTACTAAAATCAAGCTGTGATCAAAGCCAGCGACTGCTTGAAGAACACAACCCTCTACGTCCTCTAGCAACATTGGTTCAGTCTCATCACTCGAGCTTCCTAAACCAAGCCTACCATTCTTCCCACATCCCCAAACCCAAGCTTCTCCTTTCTCTGTTACACATAAAGAATGTACACGCCCTGCTGATATTGAAGATGGAGTTTCTCCATCAAAACCTTCTACTTCTCTCGGTAAGTTTTCCGGTTTTCCCCTACCAAGCTGCCGACTCCGGTTCCAACCCCACGAGAGAATTTTTGTTTCACCTCTGTTGCAGATAGCTAGAGAATGACCAAGACCAGCTGCTATAGAGATCGGGGATTCGGTTATATCAACAGGCGTCATTCCCAGGTCTTGTTTAGACCGACCCAACTGACCATAGATGTTGCTCCCAGAGCTTAAAAGTGTGCCATCATCTGAAATCAGCAAATACCAATCAGAACAAAAGTAACCAACTCTATTCAATGAATAAAACGGTCTCTTTAACTTACCACAAAGGATCAAGGAGTGATCGGATCCACAAGCAATATCTGCAACCTTTACGTTACTTGTTTCTTCCACCAGACAAGGTTCCCAAGCTATTGGCATATCGTTCTCCTTGCTCATTGCCTCCACAACCTTCTTTTCAGCTGCTTCAAGATTCAAATCAGCCGCTCGGTGATCTTTTACTGACCCATTTGTAAGTGAATCCAGCAGAGATGCTTCTAGCGGAAGTCCAACATTGCCTACTCTCCCATCAGCTACATAACCCCATCCAAACACTTTACCATCCACAGTAAGCGCAAGTGCGTGCCCCCAACCTAATGATACCTGTCATAATCGAAACCCCCTTCCTATGAACAACCTTAAAGCTGAATACACAAAGAGCTAATTATCCAAGCATGTACACCAAACCTTAACAACGTGTTCTGCAGCTAAAGTTTCGACCCTTGAAGGAACAAGAGCTTCAATGATACCTTTGCCAAGACCAAGCTGTCCTCTTTTAGATCTTCCCCAAACCCACAAAGAACCATCATCTCCAATAGCCGCTGAAACAACTCCAGACGCAAACGCAGCCCGGACATTCACATTATCTAGCCCTTCTACTCTCTTGGGCTCACTACTTGAATCTCTACTAATCACATCAATAAAACTTCAGTTATAGTAACATAAGACTCCTACCAAATTCTAAATGATACATCTCAGACTAATCTCACTAACTAACGCAAATTCAAGTTCAATTACTGCTTTTGATGAAATCAATTTAACAAAAATTGGAGATGTTTACTTAGAATCCACGGCGATACGACCGAGCTGACCTTCATTGTTACGACCCCAAGCCCAAATCCCACCGCTTGATGTAACGGCAAGAGAATGGTAATGTCCGGCGGAGATGGAAGATACATCGGAAGGCAAATTAGAAACAGCGGTTGGTTCGTAAGCATCCATTCCCATACCTGGAATCGAAGAAGATGAAGAAAGACCAAGAGCGCCATGGCTTCCGTCACCGAAGCTCATCACTGTTTTTCTCTTGCCGCCAGTGCTCGCGAATCGTCGTCTGCCGATTCCATTGAAGAGAACGCCTCTGCGAAATATCGAATCGCATGTAGAAACTTTACGGATCCGTACTTTCGCGATCGACAATAATCGGAGCATATCGCCGGAGAAACTGACGCCAAGGAGGAGAAGGTAAAGATTCGCGCATCTTGAGATGATGATGACTCGGATGGTTCTTTACCTCGTTAAGTGCAAGGGCATCCATTAGGACTGGTTTTTGTCCCAAAAAAAAATATATATGAAATGATATTATGATCAAAATATATAAAAGAAGTCAGTAAAACCTCTATAAATTAATACTCGATAAATTAATATTCTCTATAAATTAATAAATTTTTCCGGTCCCAAGTTCGGACCAGTGTAGTTTTAGACATATTTCGATTAAATAATAAGATAATATTTTTTTTTGAAAATCTTTTGTAAACATATAGTCCCATCAATATTATAAATTAATAATTAGGTAAAATTTTTAAAATATATGTATATATAGACACATAAGTTTTTGTTTGAGTTTATTTTTAAATATTTTTTTTGAAAATTTTTTCAAATTAGGAAAATCTCTCTATAAATTAATAATTATTAATTTATCGATAAATTAAAACCTCTATAAATTAATAGATTTTCATGGTCCCAACATTATTAATTTATAGAGGTTTTACTGTAATAATATAATAATTATGTGTACATTTAGGCATGAACAAAAGCTAACATTAACCGTATGTCAAACCGTAACCGTATAAAACGGTTAAAAATCGTAATCATTAATCGTACAAGTAAATTAGTTACGGTTAAAAATAATAATAACTGTAACCGTTAATTAACCGTAACCATAATAAACCGCCAGTTGACCGTACGATTAAACATTCGGTTAACCGCATATTTAAATCCTTAAAATCTCTATATTAGTAAAAGAGAAGTACAAAATAGAATGCGGGTCGGTTCAAGAGTAAAAAATTAACCCGATTTTAATAATTGGATACTTCAAAATTGGATATTAAAATGGGTTTGGATACATAAATCGGGTATTTTCCATATTTAATTTTAGGATTATATTGTTTCCATAACTAATTTTAGGATTTCCTAATATTTATCTAACTAAATTAATATAATATATTAAAAAAATTATTATTCTTCTTTCACTTTTATTTGATCTTTTTTTTAATTTCTGATATTATACTAAATAATAAAAATGTTTCAAAAAATTTTAACTTTTTTTTGCATATGCTGCAATTTAAATTTTTTAAAACGGACATATAATACTCAATTACACTCGGTTTAATATTTTGGACAATGATTTAAAATCACTATAAATATGACCAATATTAAAATCATTGTTACATAAGCATATTTAAAATATTTGTTTTGAGACATAGATGTAAATTTGGAGACATGATTTTTATTGATAAAATATTATTATATCAAATTACGTAAATTTTAGATAGTCCACGGGTAGTTTGTTAAAATCACAGTTATAATGGTAAAGCGAGTTATGAAAAATGTTTTTTACGATATGAATTCTGTTACGGGTTGGTTCTTCAAAAAATATATTGTAAGTGTGTAATTTTTACATCTGTTCCTAATTCTATTACAAAAATGGTTAAATTGAACAATTTATCGATAAATATTCTTTTGTGCTGTTAAATTTTCACCATTTTTTTAATTGTATCATAACTCAATATATTATTATTTACTCGCTTTTTTCCTTTATTATTTTATCTAAACTTATTATACAAATATATGATTCAATGTAATCGACTGTACTGTAGTAAAATTAAAATGTAATATAATTTAATCCGTTCAATTTTTTTTGATAAAAAGTTAAATAAATTATTTTACAAAATCTGTTAAACATTATATATAAGTAATTATTTCTCCCGCGCTGTAGCGCGGGTCCAAACCTAGTAAATTATATTATAACTGTATACAATGAAAACACATCAAATATTTTAATAAAATTCTCACCTTAGCAACACAACAAGTTAAACTCGTAAGTAATCAAAACATTTCATACTAAATTATTTTTATTCTTATTTCCGTGTGTATTTGATGTTGAGTTTCTCAGTTTCGATTCAATACCCATATTTAACTAATTCACTATAAATATTTGAAATCACATAATTGTTTACTTCTAACATAAATAGTATTTCATAAGATTTTATCTCCAATATTAATATTATAATAATCATCAAATAACCATAACCATATTTAACCGTAACCATAATTAACCGTAATTGTTTATAACCGTAACCGTCTTAACCATATATACAATGGTTAAGGTTATGGTTAAAAAAATATAACCGGTAACCGGTTGTTAATTAACCATAACTGTTGTCATGCCTATGCCTATGTACATTCTTAATTTTCGAGTTTTCTATGTATATAAATTAATATAACCTATAAAAAATAAACTATTATAATGTTGTAGTACTACTATTGTCTATTGGGATTATCTAATCTCTTAATCGATCGTTGACTTTGTAGTAATCAAAATCTCATATCTCTCGTTTGCTCAAATAATCTCACAGCATCTCCATGGATTCGCAGTCGAAGCTCCTATCACTTTTCTTTGAAATCCATAGTGCGACTTTGGATTCATATTCGAAACTGGATTCTGTTTCCAAGATCATATCACTCATTACTCAAGCAATATCTCTGATCAGATCAACAGATTTTGATTCGCAGCCAGATTCGGAGTTCATCTCACTCATTACTCAATCGATCTGTCTCTTCAACTCCATGGATTTAGATTCCCAGCCAGATCCGTTAAGGAAGCTCATATCTCTCATTTCTCAGAAACTCTCTCTCGTCGTCAACTCTACAGATTCGGATTCGGAGTTCATGTTACTCATTGAAGAAACATTTAGTCTAGAGCCACAACCAGAGTTTATATCACTCATTCGTCAGATATTATCTCATATCTCTCTGGAACCGGAGAGTACGATGGAGCAGAATCTCATATTACTCATTACTCAACTAATCTTCCAACGTATATATCTCTCGTTTGACATATCTGTCATTAGTCAAATAATCTCCCTAGTGAGTTCAATATATTTTAAATTGCAGCCAAATCTGTGTTCAAGTTTCATTTTGATGAAAGATTGGGTATGGAGTCAGAGCCGATGCTTATGGAAGACAGTTTTCCGAAATTATATCCAGTCAACGATATAGATTCAAACTCTGACACTGATTCAGACTCGAAGTTTTTGGAGCTGGATTTGAACCTGTATATAGATTCGGAACTCGTTGATGAAACATTGAGTCTCGAGCCGGAGCCGGAGTTCATATCGCTCATCTATCAAATATTCTCACTCGTCGTCTCAAAGGATGTAGAGTGGAAAAAGCTTATTGTTCTATGCCCTCAAGGAGAAGTAAAATTGGATCAAGGAACGTTTCATGTTGTTGGAGAAGTATTGAGCAACAACAATGACAAGTGGAAGTGCCTCCCTCTCAACTGGAAGAGATATTGGTTAACAAAAGAAGACGCTACCCATTTTCTCTGCCGAGGATGCAATGGCGAGAACCATGGAGAATATGTGAAAGCTCCGATTGAGATCAAACACTCTCTTCATCCAAAACATTCTCTACAACTTGTCTTGTTGAATGGAGACAGAACCAGGGAATGTTATTGTTGCGATAAAGATCTCGAAGAGGTATTTTACTATTGCTCGGCTTGCGATTATGCTATGAATATTGCTTGCTTAGAGACACCTAGAGTCTTGTCCGTGGACCATCCGAAGTGGCATGAACATACACTTTCTCAGTTTCCAAGAATGACTTCTTTAACTTGCAACGTATGTGCCTTGACACATTCAAGCTGTCCTTTCTATATGTGTCCCCCTTGCGACTTTGTTGTTCACCAAAAGTGTATCGGCTTACCTCGTGTCATAAGGATATATCGCCATTTCCATCGTCTCTATTTTACTCTTTCTTTTGACCAAGGAGTTCGGTGTTGTGGTGTTTGTCGCAGAAAGATCGACAATGACTATGGGGGTTATTCTTGCAAAAAGGACGGTTGCTCGTATGCAGCACATTCAAAATGTGCCACACAGAGCAATGTGTGGGATGGTAAAGACCTTGAGGGAGAGCCAGAAGAAGACATTAAAGAAATTGAGCCGTTTGTAACTGTAAGAGATGGAATCATACGACATTTCAGTCATCAACATCATCATCTGAAACTAGATGAGAACACAAGTAGAGATTACGACGAGGATAAGTTGTGTCAAGCATGCATCACTCCGATCTATTTTGGTAACTTCTACTCATGTATGCAATGTGATTTTCTTCTCCACGAAGAATGTGCTAAACTTTCTCGCAAAATAAATCACCCAATACATCCGCATCTGCTTAATCTAGTGGGAAGATCTGATCACCTTGTTAGGGATGCTACAAAATCATGTTCAGTTTGTCCTTGGAGGTGCACATCTGGTTTCTTCTATGAGTGTAGTGAAAGAGAATGTCGTTTTAAGGTACACGTGCAGTGCGCCACAATTTCTGAGCCACTGGTCAATGAAAGTCATATGCATCCTTTGTTCCTAACATCGAAACCAGGAGAGGAAAGAAGATGTTGTGTGTGCAAAGAGTTAGGACATTGTTCCACAAATGAAACATTCAATTGCATTGAGTGCGACTTTGCATTGTGTTTCAAGTGTACTCTTTTACCTCAAAAGGTGAGGTATAAGCATGACAAGCATGTGCTTACTCTTTCCTATGGAGAGGAGACAAGTACCATGACGTATTGGTGTGAAGTTTGCGAGAAAACTTTAAATCCGAATGAGCGGTTTTATATGTGCGATGGGTATTGCTGTGTCACCCTTCACATTGAATGTATGCTTGGGGTGGACTTATATATGAAGCCTGGTTCATTTTGGCTCTACAGAAGTAACAAAGTAGGCGTTCTACCCAACAATTATCATATGTCAAGACCTATTTGCTCCTTTTGTGAGAAGCGTTGTCCACACAAAATAGTTTTCCAATGTTTTGGTTTAATATCGTGTTCCACTTCTTGTATTCGTGTTAAGGATTCGATAGAGTCATAGAGATGACCATGTAACTTGATGGACGTCGGTCTAGTAACAAGAGATATATATTATTGAATGTTTATTATGTTTTATGTATGTCTTTGCTACATCAACCATCTTAAATATGGGATTTATATATTTGCCACTTTTGCTTCAAGAAAAAAGAGATTTCTTTATCCTTATACAATTCTTCTATTATTTTTCTTATTTTCTCTCATGTTTTTTTTTTTTTGGGTTATAATAACGTATTTTAAAAATTAGAATACATCAAAATACCAGTTCTGTGATGTATGATATAAAAAAATAATTAAAAAAAACTTAATTAATAAAATATACGAAATTTACTTTTGTGAGATGTACACATATAATTTTCAGTAAGTATATCTTATTTTCCATCTTTTACATTATTCAGTTGCGTTTTATCGCACCCAGTATATATATTTCTTTGTATCGTTTTTTTTTAACTCTTGCTTTATTATTTATTGCAAATTGTGAGAACTGTTACAATGACGATTTTACCATAGACAGTTCTATCCGACCCTATTAGATTTAACACATATTACAATTCTTTTTCTGACATACGACACTTCCTTCTCCATGAGTAGAATCACGGCGATTGGCTCGTAATTATGCATCGTTGTAGATCTCCTGTAAGCTTGTCTTCTTAGATGCATTAATCAACCCTTGGTCATTAGTTGCATGTATATATGTTTTTCATTGGGATAAATGTCATAAAAATCTCGAACTTTCAAATTTTAGACGAATTAATCCCAAACTTTCAAAAAGTCATTTTAATCATAACCATATGTTGTATTTTCCTTACAGTTGTTAAGTTTTGTTGATTTTTCAGATTTAAGCACGACGTCTAATCTCTCTTAAAATCAAGAAAACAACGTTTAACCATGTTTTCTAAACCACAAAATGACATAGTTTAACAAACTAAAGAACCTAAATCCCCAAATCGATTCACAGTTCACAAATCTGAATCCTTCTCGATCCACCAATTCTCTCTACCTCTTGTCGAATTGTTTCCATGGTGCGGACTCGTTGAGGAAGAAAGGGCCTTTCAACGTTGTTTTGTCATTTAAAAAATGTTATCGTTAAGGCTAAACCTGAGCAGCTCACAAAATAATTAACCTTGTCTTCAAAATTTTAATAAAGATTGAAAATCGTGCTTAAACCAACAAGATCAACAAAATTTAGCTATGTTACTGGAAAAGTCAACATAATTTTATTAAAGTTTTCGATTCCATGAATAGAAAATGTTGATATTTGAATAAAATATGATTAAAGTTTGACAAAGATGTCTAAAAACAACATAATATATTTGTTATATTAGTCTAAAAGTATATAATGTCTAAAAATATAATTGTAATTTTGGTAATTAGATTATATCAAACATATAAACCTTACGCACATAACGCGGGTCAACAACTAGTGAAGATATATTGACTAGTAAAATATCAAAAACTTCAATGCTATTACTAACTTTAGTAATTTATGCTCATTTGGAAATATGAATACTGAAAACGGTTAAGACATTAAATAACATATTTTGAAACAATATCAGTTACTAGACAAAACCCAAAGCTTGGTCAAATATTCAACATTCAAAAATAATTCTATATCTAGCTGATTACATATTGATTGCATAAACGTCAATACAATCACTAATTTAGTAATTAAGTACGTAAATGCTCACTTGGACTGGTTCTAATAACATCTCTCTACTTCATTCTATATATATACCCACCCAAATGGCTCTTATCAATCCAAGCTTTGTAAGAAAATATCATTACAAAAAAGGGATTTTAAATCATGAAACTCTTAGAAAAAATGATATATTTAGAATTCTTGATGATAACAATGGCGATGTGGCTCGTGCCCATGAGTTACGGTCAAGTAGCCGATGTTAGGGATCAAGCCAGGTCAGTGGGCACTGCTTGGTCTGACGCACGAGCCACATTTTATGGTGACATTCATGGTGGAGGAACTCAACGTAAGTTAAAAATATTACTAATAGTTTTATATCTTGTTCCTATATTTTTTGTTTTTGTTAAAATTATTTAGTTCTTGGTCTTAAATTATAATTAATTTTGTTAGTGAGTTAAATGTCTTAATGGTTTTTTTTATAAATTGAATTGAATGTCGCAAGTAATATAGTTCTTGATCTTCTCTTTCGTATACATAAATCTATAAATTTTTGTTAAAAAAAAAAATCTATAAATTTAGGACATAAATATATAATTAATTGAAATGCCAAAAAACATTACTATATGATTAGGTTGATATCATTACATAATTTACATTTTGACCCAAAAAATGAAGATAGTATGTAAATATAAAACCAACACGTAACAAACATTCAAAGTTTAGTTACATTTTTATTTTATTTTGAATTATTATTACATATATATGTACTCACTTTGTTTTTTTATTATACATTTTCAATAGAGGGAGCTTGTGGATACGGCAATTTATTCAAACAAGGCTATGGTCTAGCCACAGCAGCGTTAAGCACGGCACTCTTCAACAACGGGTACACATGCGGTGCTTGCTTTGAGATCATGTGCACGAATGATCCACAATGGTGTTTGCCCGGATCCATCAAGATCACCGCTACAAACTTCTGTCCATCAAATTACACCAAAAACAAAGACATTTGGTGCAACCCACCACAAAAGCACTTTGATCTCTCCCTACCCATGTTCCTCAAGATCGCAAAGTACAGAGCCGGGGTTGTCCCAGTTAAATACAGGCGTGTCCCTTGTATGAAAATGGGTGGTGTCAAGTTCGAAACCAGTGGAAACAAATACTTCTTATTGATCTTGCCATACAATGTAGGAGGAGCTGGAGACATTAAATACATACAAGTTAAGGGGAACAAGACCGGGTGGATAACAATGACAAAGAACTGGGGACAACATTGGACCACTAGTGTTGTATTGATCGGCCAAGGGTTATCGTTCAGGGTTACGACAAGTGCTGGGATTACAAAAGATTTCATAAATGTGGTGCCGAAAAACTGGGGTTTCGGACAAACTTTTGATGGAAGGATTAATTTTTAGGAGAAGGATTTGAGATTTGTTAGTAGTGGCTTACTTCCAAATATACGTATTACGAGGATACTCTTTACGTTACTTAATGTAGGTTAATAAAATGGAAACTCAAAATAATAAGATTTGAACTAAGCCCAAAACAACTTATTTTTTTGTTTTTTTTACTAGCTAACCATTTAATTTTCTTTTTTCAATTTCAAAAACTCGTAACCGAAACAGAGTTAAAACCTTTTTTCTGTAACCAAATTAAATTGAAGTAAATACTAAAAATCTACTCCCTCTGTTTCATTTTAAGTGATGTTTAAGTTTGTTACACATATTAAGAAAACATATAATTTCTCTTGTTTCTATAGAAACATCATTAATTAAAAGGAATTGAACCAATCATAAAATAATATGTAAAATATGATTGGTCAAAAAATATTAAAGACATTTAATTTTTGCATAGATAATTGAAAACATTATTTAAAATAAAACAAGATTTTTGGGCTAAAACATCACTTAAATTGAAACGGAGGGAGTATTAAATACCACTTTATCCGCATCTAAATAATTGTTTAAAATTTTCACACATATTAAAGTATTATTAAAATTTATATCTTATATTTTATTAGTATATTATATAATTTTTTTCTATTGGTCTATACATTAAATTAATAGGGATAAAACTATAAATTTCAAAATATATACACTAAAAATACAAAACAACACTTATTTTAAATTGAAATTTGAAGTCTAAAATGATACTTATTATGAAGGAGAATTGTCAAAAATATCCCCAAATTTTTTTTTTTTAATGTATTATGAATTTTATATTCCAAAAATACGAGTAAAACACATTTTTTTCCCTTTCCTCTATAAGAATTTAACCTTTATAAATTCAATAAATTTAATCAGCCAAAACAAAAAAAAATAGTATCCTTCAATATAACGAAAAGTGCCAATAATGTCAAAACTAGCCGTTGCCATTATTTACTTATTTTCCAAAAACAGCCGCTCCTCTCCTCTCTTCTTCTTCTTCTTCTCAGCTTCCCCCACGCCATTAACGAACCAATCTGAAAAATCTCCTCCATGGCGCAACTTCAACAACCTCGCATCAGATCTCCACTATCCGAGAACCTTCCTCCTTCTACCTTCGCAAGATCTCCTCTCTCCGATAACCAAATCTCGACTCCACTGAAACGAAACCCTATTCTCGTAACTCCCACTCTTCACGATGAAGAATCCAACGACGATGACATGAGTATCGAGTCCGTTTCCGATACCGGAGAAGGAAACGAGTTGTTATTATTCTCCGATTACGATGTTGAAGATGAAGAAGAAGAAATTGGGAGACGATACGATGAAGAAGAAGTGTTTGGAGATAAATCGAGTTCGAAATTGAACAGAGGAGTGTTGGAAAATAAGAATCTGAGAATTGAAGTTCCGTTTGTGATGAATAGAAGAGTCACTGATTGTGAATTAGAGCTTCGGAGATTCGCGTTGAAGAATTCAACTCCGGGTAGCGAACGACGACCGCCGCCGCATAGTCTGAGCTCTAAGGTAATGATTTGATTTTGAGATGGTAAGCTAATTTTAGAATTAATTTTTGGGGTTTTTATTTAGGGTTCGGTGTATTGGGATTTAGAAGATATACGAACTCCAAGTGCTCCACCTATAATGGAAATTGGACAAGAAGATAACATAAGCTTGGAGATTGAGAAGGAAATTGAGCAGATTGAAGATGAGATTTGCGGAGTAGATACCATAACGAATGATAGAGATGCAGAAATTGGGGAAAGGTAAGACCATTTTTTGTAACTTTGTTCTGTGGAATTAGTTTTGATGTGATTGTTTAACTATGGTTTTGTGGTGTAGTGTGAAGGAGACTAAAACTGTGGAAGATGAGAAAATCTCGGAAGTCACCTCTGATGAATTAGATTGCCATAGTATCAGGTTGAGTGTTTAGTTTTGTTTAACAGTTTTAAATGAAAGAGTTTGAACTTCATTATTATAGCTAAACAAGAAGTTGTCATTTTGTTTTCCAATGACAGTGGTCAATATGCTTGGCAAAGTCTTTTGGCATATGATGCTTGTATAAGACTATGTTTGTATGAATGGTCTAAGGGTTCTACTGAGGCATCTGAGTTTCTGCGTGATGAGTGTCGTATTCTTCGAGGTGCATTTGGGTAGGGGATGTGTTTTTTTTTTCTTATGGTTTCTGAGATATGACTTATATGTCTTGCATTGAGTAATTGAACTAGTCTTCTTTGTATATGTGATGTTATAGTTTGCATAAGTTTCTCTTGCAACCTCGGGGTATACGATCAACTGAAGAACACAAAAATGTGAAAGCGGAGCAAAAGACATCATCCTTGAAGTCTAAAAACGTGGTCAGAAAGTTAAGGGTGGAGGGTAAATTGTTATTTTTCTGATAAGCTAAAACTTGAATACAATAGATAAGCCTGGTATGAATCAAATGTTTATACCTTTTCAATTTTTGATTTGTTTTAGTAAAGAGACTTCGATTGATACCACAGCGCAGACTTAGAGGTACAGATTCGCTGCGGAGTTTAATGAATATGCAAATAGGAATGGGGGCAGAATATTGCCGGCAAGTTTCATCACTTGTGAAGACTGGGATGAGTTCTATTAAGCAGGCTACCCTTTCAGCAGTTTCAGAAGGTTGGCGTTTGTTACATCGAGAAACTAAACATATATTCAACGCTTTTGCATAATATCATTTTGTTATATTTAAATTTTCTAGGCCTGTTAAACTGTGATTTGCCCATTTTTTCACTGGTTGTACACAATTTACTATATGGAAGATATCATTTGTTAGATAAGTTCTCTATTGATATGAGATGACACGATTTATTCTTGTGATTCTACCTGCAGAACAATTCTCTTGCTACCTTCAAATGAAGAGCACAACAGAAGGAGGTCAAATGGAACAAGGATCTTCTGTCTGTTTGCAATCAGGAACTGGAAGTTACCATGTCTTGTAAGTTCTTTTCTTTCTCTTTAAATCAATTAATGTTTGATCTAAAGATGGGATGGATTTACCAAAATATGTATGTCAGTGGTTGTTTGAGAAATGAATTACATGTAACCATTGTGTTATAATTAATGAAAATGTCATGGAAATTTCCAGAATTTAGCTTTATAGTTTCTGAGTACAGAGAGTTTTTACTCACAACTGCTCCTTCAGCTTTCCTGAGTCCGAAGGTGACGCTCTTCTGATAGAAGTTCAAGATAAAAAGAAATCAGTTCAAGGAAAAGCAATGATTTCTATTGCATCCTTAACTGAAAATCCGGTAAATATGCGTTTAGCTATGCTTCCTGTATTAAATTTCTTCCATTTTTCTTCCGAGAATGTTATAGTGCTTGAGAAAACAGATATATATACTGAAGAAAACTCTACATTTGTTCAGAATGAAACTGTTAGATGGTGGCCAATATACCATGGTGAACAAGAATGTGTTGGCAAGATCCAGCTCTTTATCGGTAGTACAACCATGTCTGATGAAGACTATCACATTAAGGTCTGTTATATACCCAGCAATCCATAGATGGTCTATGTTTTATTCTGTGATACTAATGTTTTTCATTTCTGTCTGTCGCAGAGCGCACCTGTTGTGGAGACACTAGCATATGATCTGCTATTAGAAGCGGCTACACGTGCCCAAAAATTCCATCCTCAAAATTTAAGGCTGAATGGTTCGTGGAAATGGCTGTTAAGCGAATTCGCAGAATACTATGGAGTTTCCGATACATATACCAAGTTGAGGTACGCATAAAGATTTTTTCGTAGACTGCCCTGCGTCTATTATAAGTTATCTGGTGTTAAGCTCAAACATATTGCACCAAACTTTGCAGATACCTCTCACATGTAATGAATGTGGCAACTCCAACGAAAACCTGCTTACAACTTGTGCATGAGTTACTTGTGCCCATCCTAATGGCTCGAAGCGAAAGGACATTGACAAGGCAGGAGGTACTTTCTTTTGCATATTGAAAAATCTGATGTCATCATTATGAAATTTTCATGGCTCTATAGGGTTACTAGTTACTGAAAATTTAACTATTTTTGCAGAAAAGTATCTTGATGGACTGTGAAATAGAGATAGAAAAACTCATGGCAACTGTTTTTGAGAATTACAAGTCCTTAGATGAAAACTGCCCTTCAGGATTGGCAGACATATCTTGTCCAGTGCAAGAATCAGCTTCAACAGCACTTTCTCCAGCTGTTCAGGTTTTTAGTCTCCTTCATGACATATTGTCTCCTGAAGCGCAAGAAATTTTGAAGAATTACCTTCAGGTAGATTATTTCAACAATCTTAATTTTATCCTTTAATATGAAAGTTTCAATCTGTTGGTTTAAAATAATATCCACGCCTTATATCTATTGGTTTTCTTGATTTTATAACATATCAAGACTATGATGTTTATGATTTACTTGGAACACCTACTGCAGACAGCAGCAAAGAAGAGGTGTCGGAAGCATATGGTTGAAACCGACGAGTATGTTTCCTGCAACTCTGAAGGTTTTCTGTTGGATTCCGTCACAATCTCGACAGCCTACATGAAAATGAAGAATCTTTGTCTAAGCATAAGCTACGAAATAGAAACTGACATAAAGATCACCAACGAGCATGTACTCCCAAGGTAAACGATCAAATCTGAACAAAGTTCTTTCATTTTTAATCTGGATTTCATCTAATATTTATCTCTGAGTCTTGATATTGATTGGTCTTATGTTCTCACACCTTGTTTATCATTCAAGCTCAATCGATTTAGCAAATATAGCTGCTGCCGTATACAGCACTCAGCTATGTAACCGGCTCAGGGAATTTCTGTCAGCAGTTCCACCATCCTGCCCACTGCCACATGTTAATGAGCTTCTGATAGCAGTTTCTGATTTTGATAGAAACCTCGAATCATGGGGAATCAGGTTTGACATTATTATTTTGGAATCCATCAGAATATCAACTCATTCTTTCCCTTTAAGACTATAACCGTTTCATTTTATATTATGCAGTCCAGTACAGGGTGGTGTAGATTCTAGAGGGTTATTCCACAACTACATAATGGTTTGGATACATGATGTGGAACTTAGACTACTTGACCGATGCAAAGCAGAAAAGGTAAGCATCCTCATCATTTTGGGTTGTTCCTTAAAATATCAAGCCAATCATCTGATTGGCCTGTTTTGGTAGGTTCCGTTGTCTGGTGTAACAACAAATCACTCAACATCCCCTTTTGCTGAAGATATGTATGAAAGAATCAAAGATTCCCTTCTAGAGTATGAAGTGGTGATAAGTCGATGGCCACAATACACATTGATCTTGGAAAATGTAAGCTACAACTTATATAAGTGATCAGTTTGTAGCTCACTATATAGTTGCCAAAACTAACTAAGGTACATTCATATTTTTCATGTACTCTTTTGGAAGACTGCTTCAATCATAGAGAGAGCCATTGTTAAATCACTGGAGAAGCAATACAGTGACGTTCTGATTCCGTTAAAAGATAGCATTCCAAAGAGACTAAATATGCATGTCCAAAAGCTGACAAGAAGGCAATCATCAGTTCTCTACTCTGTTCCAACTCAAGTAAGAATCACACACCGATCATTTAATAGAATTAGTTTCAAAATTCCTGACTTTTAACTATGATCTGTGCTGAACTATAATTATTTATTGTTGATTGCAGCTTGGAACTTTCGTCAACACAATAAAGAGAATTCTTGATGTTCTACATCACAGAGTTGAAGATATCTTACGACAATGGGCTTCTTGTCTTCCTGTTTTGGAAGACAAGAAGTTACCTTTTGGGGAGCAGATGAGTGTAATAACGGTCTTGCTCAGGACAAAATACAGAAACTACATGCAAGCCGCGGTTGATAAACTTGTTAGCAATGTAAGTTCTATAATGCCTCGTATCTGCTGCATTTAAATCCATTCTTTTTAACAATCTTCGGTTTCAGACGCAATCAAACAAAATCACAAGGCTGAAGAGAATCTTAGAAGAGATAAAAGACAAGGAGAGAGAAGTCGAAGTCCGTGAAAGGATGAAGATGCTATGCTCACAAATCACAGACTCAATCACAAATCTGCACGATGTCTTCACAAGTCAGATATTTGTAGCTTCGTGCCGCCTTTTCTGGGATAGAATGGCACAAGTAGTATTGAAGTTTCTCGAGGGAAGGAAGGAGAACGAAGCAGGCTACAAAGGCTCTTACTATGCTCTTGGGGTAAGAAACTAAACACTGTAAATAGAGAATGTGTTTTGAGGTTGAAACTGAGTTATGATAAAAATGTGCAGATAGTTGAAGACACATTCGCATCAGAGATGCAGAGGCTGCAAGGGAACTCACTACAAGAGAAAGATATGGAACCTCCTCGCTCGGTGATTGAGGCACGTTCCATTCTCTCTAGAGATAACAATACCAATCACTCTTCTTACTTCTATGTCTAGTCCAATATCCTCAACCTTCAACCCATTCCATTCATTTGTTGTGATATATCGTATATATGATAAACTATTCATTTAGACTTAAATGGTCTAAGAAAGATTGTAACCCGTTCATAATCATATGCTGCAGCTTCAAAGGTGGTTCTAAACTCAATATGCTAATAACTTTTCATTTGGTGAATCATTTGACATAAGTTACACGGTTCGAACTAACTTAACACTTACTAGCTTTAAATTACAATCAAGATAGTTCAAAACAGCAGAACAACTAGTGGTAGAATTATCGAGGCTTAAAAGCCATAAAGGAAACTTATTGATAGGGGTATACATTATATCAAAGTGTGTTTCTCTGCTTGTGTTTAAGGGAAGAAAGATAAATAAACAAAGGATGTATTGTACGTGTACTTAGATGACAGTGCCGGCTGGGATTAAGGCGTCTTTGATAACGGTTACAATTCCGCTCTTTATGAAATATCCTTCAGTCTCTCTTGCTGCCTCTTGCACGTTATCGCTGTTTATGATCTGTGCGAAGTTTCAGACCGAAATCTTTTAGAAAACCAGAGCATGTATGAATATATGTGTATCTTATATGTGTTCCAAATAGAAAACCTCACCTTGACATTGTCACCAATACGTGCATTTTTGTCAATGATGGCCCTTTTGATGTGCGAATTTTTCCCGATACCTATGGGTACACTTCCTTTCGCGCTTAGGATGCTCTTTTCCGAAGCAGTCTAGCCAAAATTACAATCAGAAAAGAAGACCATTATCATCAAAAGGTTGATTATTATTTGTTGTCAAATTGGATTGATTGCAAGACAAATGGGGTTGCATTTTTACCTCGTAATAGTCAGCTCCCATTAATAATGAATCTTCAATAATAGCACCTTCTGATATGCATGATCGGAGTCCAACCACAGAATGGTGAATTTTGCAGTTCTGCATTCAAAATTAATAAGACTATGGTGAATTAGTATGTTCGTCAAGCATATCGAGCAGATGCTATTTGTTGTACCTTGATAACACAGCCCTCTCCGATGACACTGTCTGTGACATCAGCATCAAGCATCTTAGAAGGTGGTAAATAACGTGGCTGTGTGTAGATGGGAGCGGAACGATCATAGAAACTGCATCAAGAATTCAGATAAGTTAAGATATCATTCAGATACAATATATATTCAACTTGGTAATGCAGTTGCTTACCTAAAGTCAGGAACTGGTTTCTTGGTGATTCCGAGATTTGCGTTATAGAATGCTTCTATGGTACCGATGTCTTCCCAGTATCCATCATATAGGTAAGCTTGCACCTGCAAAACATCAGTAAAGTCAGCGGGTTTCACTTCTGCCTAGCATCATTAGAGCTACAAGAAGCTGTTAAATGCAAAAGCAAACCAAAGGGAAACAGAGACGTTTAACAATCAGAAAATGAATATCAAGACTTACTCTCAGTCCAAGGGAAGTGGCACCGGGAATGACTTCACTTCCAAAGTCATTAGCTCCAGGAAACTTGTTCCGTAGTAACTCGAGCATTACATCTCTGCTTACAACATAAATACCCATACTAGCAATGTAAGGCATCTCCTTGGCTCTCTCATCGTCAAGACCTAGAATCGTTGTGTCAACCTAGAATCAAAGAAATCAAAAGCTTATATACAGTTCTGCATTATAAACCAAGACAGCTAGCGAATAAGTTATTGTTTCTTAATTTTAGTATTCACCTTCATAGCCTTTAGTTGCTCCCCCTTAGGCTTTTCGGCAAATTCAACTATACGTCCTTCCTCATCAATCTTCATCAGCCCAAAAGCAGTCGCTCGTGCCTCATCCATTGGTAATGCAGCTACTGTAATATCAGCATCAGTCTCCCTATGTGCTTGAATAAACTTCTCGTAATCCATACGATACAAATGGTCACCAGCAAGAATCAGGTACTCCAGAACATTGTGCTCCTCAAACAACCACAAATACTGCCTCACCGCATCAGCTGTTCCCTACACAACCACACATCACACAAACACAATCAAACACAAGCGACAACATAAAAGTATAATCCTCTGCATTTGATACACTACCTGAAACCAATTAGGATTCTCAGGACTTTGCTGAGCAGCAAGAACTTCAACAAAACCTTCATTCTTGTAACCTCCCATGTTACTCGCATACGCACGAGAAAGATGACGATTCAAAGACGCGGAATTGAACTGAGTAAGAACATAGATCTTGGAAATGTTGCTATTCAAACAGTTGCTAACAGGGATATCAATTAGCCTATAGTTAGCACCAAGAGGAACAGCTGGCTTCGCTCTCTTCTTCGTAAGTGGATAAAGACGAGTCCCAGCACCACCTCCTAAGATTATCCCCAAAACACTCTGCCATTTCAAAAACAACAGTTTCTAGGGTTTAATTTCAATACCACATTACCTAATAAATCACAAATCAATCTAACATCACATTTATAATCTGATCTCAAGTACATTAAGAAGAAGGTACTTACGCTGCTAGCGTCAGGATCGAGACAAGTTTGAGAGTTCTGAGAATCAGAGACGGCTTTAGGAGAAACGATCGTCGGAGTTCTCGTCTCTCGTCCGGCGCAGCGACTGGAGACGGCGGCTCTGAGTGATGAAACATTGTCTTCAACAGATGAGGAGAAAGAAAGAGTACTCCTCGTCGGCGTCGGAACAGAATCAGTGGATTTGCAGCCGGTGAAACTGGAAGAAGCAGGTACTTTAAGAACTCCAGTAGCAGCAAGATACGCCATTGTAGTATCGATCTCTCTCTCGCTCTCTCGCTTAATGGTAAATGATCAAATCTCAGAATTTGGAGTGAGAGTTGGGACTTTGTTTGTTGTTGTTGTCTTGTGACTGTGGGAAAGTGGAAGAGAAGAAAGATCTTTTTTATTTTATTTTATTTCTTTTGTTTCTTATCTTAGGCGATGGGGTATCGGGAACCGTTAGTTTTATTTTCAGCTGATTTTTTGTTTAATTACGTTTATACCCTTTAACGTACGTTACGACTTGTTTTGGAAATGGGTAGTTTTGGTATTTTAAATGTCAAACTATATTCAAATTTATAATCCAAATCAAATCGAATTATTCTGGAAAGAGTCAGAGAATGACTGGAAAAAATATGAAAGTTGAAGATATTCATTATTCAATTCGATTTGATTATCAATTTTTGGGTTTTTTTTTTGTCTTTTAGTGAGTTAAATTGCATTGTACGGTGCTTGTTTTTCGTAGACTATTCTTTGATATCTTTCTAATCTAATTTGTATGTAAATAAAATAACTATGAGATTATGAATTATGATTATATCAAATTTATATGGATACCTATTTGTCTATTTTAGTGATATTGAAAATTAGGGATCCAATAAACCTGACATTTTTATTTAGTGTAGAATTTACGTGTTCTTTTTTTTTTGTCAACATCAATAATAGAGACTCAAAAGAGCCAAGAGGAGAGAATATTGTTTATATACAAACATATTAACGGCTCAGTACGCACTTTACGTGCTAACATGTCCGCTTTAAAATTAGAATTTCGAGGAACTTTAACTAAAGAGAAGGAAGAAAAAAATACTTCCCTATCCGCCTTAATCTCCCCAAATAGGTAACAAATGCCGGTCATTCTGCTGGGGAATTTATAGAATTTACGTGTTCATGTAGCTTTTATATTTAATCTATGTGTTACTTTGCTTTGTATTCAATTTTTTTAATAGAATTAGGTTCGGATCCGCGCTACAGCGCGGGGGAAATAATTACATATATATAACTTTTAACGGATTAAGAAATGTTACATTTTAATTTTATTAGAATGCAGTCGATTACGGTAAATCATATATTTTTATAATAAGTTTAAATCAAATAATAAAAGAAAAAGCGAGTAAATAATCAAATACTGAGTTTTGATACAATTATAAACACGGTGAAAATTTAACAGCACGAAATAATATTTGTCGCTAAATTATTTATTTTGACTATTTTTGTAGTAATAGTAGGAATATACGTAAAATTTACATATTTACAATATTTTTTTTGAAAGTCCAACTCGTAACAGAATTCATTTCGTAAAAAACATTATTCGTAACTCGCTTTATCATTATAATTGTGATTTTAACAAACTACCCGTGAATTATCTAAAATTTACATAGTTTGATATATAATATATTTTATCAATAAAAATTATGTCTCCAAAATTACATTTATGTCGTCAAAAAAATATTTCAATATTTTAAATTCTAAAAGTTTTATATATTTGAACCTTATATTTATAATATTTTGGAACTATTTGAAATTTTAAATATGCTCATGTAACAATGGTTTTAATATTGGTCATACTTATAATGATTTTAAACCATTGTCCAAAATATTTAACCGAGTGTAGTTGAGTATTATATGTCCGTTTTGAAAAATTCAAATTGCAACATATGCAAACTAAAAGTTAAATTTTTATTAAATATTTATATTATATAGTATAATATCATAAATTAAAAATAATATCAAATAAAAGTGAAAGAAGAACAATATTTTTTAAATAGATTGTATTAAATTAGTTAGAGAAATATTAGTAAATCTTATAATTAGTTATGGAAATAATACAATCCTAAAATTAGATTTGGAAAGTATCCGGTGTATGTATCCAAACCCATTAACCCGACCCAGAAGCACTTTTTGTACTTCTCTTTTACTAATATAGGGATATTGTTGTTGTCTTAAGGAATTTTTGTAAATAAACCTTCATGTCGACTATTTTTACAGTTTCATCCTTTAAAACTAAAAAATTTAAGTTAATTATACTAAGTAAAAAAACAAGTACAATATACCCGTGTTTGTTATCGTCAACTTTGTAAACTTTTGATAATTATAGCCTTTGTAAAAAGAATTTCAAAAACTATCTTTAAAATTGTACAGAAATAATATATGTGATTGTAAAAATGTTTAGAAAATACCTATAAAAGTTGTATTATATAGTGAGGAAAATACAATATACCCCGTGTTTGGTATCGTCAAATTTGTAAACTTTTGATATATAACATATCTAATTATAGCCTCTGTAAAAAGAAGTTCAAAAAATATCTGTAAAATTTTACAAAAATAAATATATGTGATTGTAAAAACTTTTAGAAAATACGTATAAGAGTTATATTATATAGTATTATTTTAATTTAATAGAACTGATTTGTATTTTTTTAAGATGAATAATAGACTTTTAAAAATTAACGATTTAAAAGTTTATTTGCTTAAAACCCTTTGTGTTAACTTTGTTTTTAATATTATTTGTAATTATAAGTTATATATGTTTATTTTAGTTTCTATGTAAGCGTTAATTTTTATTTATTCTAAATAATACATCTAAAAATTTGTAGGGACTAATTGATTAAAATAATTAGTGTGATATATAAAACTTATAGGGACTGAAATGCAAAATAATTTTAAAGGTAACCAGGCTGAGACACTCTCTGGGTCGGACCAATCTTGGGTCGGGTCGGGTCAATTCTAAAAGCTTGCAACTGAATTGGACAAATTAGGGTTTTCAATTGAAATTGAGCAACGAAACTGTATTGATCGAGCACAAGAACAGTACTGTTGTCGTCCATGGCTACCATCACTGGTACGTACATTAGCTTCTATCGATTACTTGATTTCGTAATGAACTTTTGTTATCCCCGATGTCAAATTCTTAGGATCATGAACGCTTGATTCAATACAATCCAATTGGCTTTAAGTTTCAGAGTTTGAAACATTCTTTACAATATTGTTTGTTCTTGATGTTTCTTTGTAGGTGTTGATGATGTGAGCAAGAACCACCCACTTAAAAAACTTGTTGAACTGACTCAAAAGGAGAAGAAGAACACTGTGATCCTCAATCATCTAAGCTTGTTTGGTCCTGAAGCAGAGGTCATTAGATCTATTCCTTTTGCATATAACCTTTCTTGCTTACTATGACACTATCTTTAGGGTCAGTGACTTATTTGGGTAAAAGAAAACGATTAAAGAGTATTATGTTGTGTGAGCATGTCGAGATAGTTTTAAGTTGAATTGGTTGCCTTAGAGCTTTTATTGGTAAGAGTAAAAATAGTTAACACATTGATTCTTTTAGTTCTTTACACAAAGAAAAACATTGTCTATATCATCTTCCATGGAATCTTCTTACTCTGTAAACACCATTTTCACATGATTGTACACTTAGGTTCTTGATTGTAAACAGGTTCACCTATGTAATTATAGGGACTGCACGGGTAAGGAAAAGCAGAAGGCACACCGTATCCTTGAGGAAATGAAGGCACACCATATCCTTGAGGCCATGGATGATAACACGGCACAGGTGTTGGCGCAGGCGCAGGAGGTTTCTTATCATCTGTTCCTTTTTTATCATCTGCTCCTTTCTTATCATCTGCGCCTTTTTTGTCGCCGTCTTTTCCCTTTGCAGCATCCTTTCCATCTCCTCCTTTCTTTTCCTCTTCTTTCTTCGGAGGTTCGACTTTAGTCACGCTTACAAGCTCTGCAAATGCTACTTCCTTTCTGATTTTTTTAACCAAGGGTATCATATCAACTTCAACACCAGTTACCTCGATTTGGTTCCTGTGATCGCCTTTTATTTCCACGGCTGATACACCTATTAAAACACCATTTTCATTAAATCCAAGAAAGGTTTGGTATATTTGTGAGAAGGTCTTTAACAAACCCTTAAACTGAACTGCTTTTGTCATTGCTTTTGCTCGGGTTTTGTCATCGGTCATCGTCACTCTTATCAGAATCTTTTGCTGCATTTTGAGAAAACAAAAGAGATATCTTGTAACATCAATCAAAGAAGAGAACACAAACCTATAAACACATATAGATACTTACCTTAAGCATCTTTGTTTTGCTTGAGAAATCGTCTTTGAATGTTTTGGCTTAAGACTTGTTTCTGGTTGTGGTGATGGTGTAGAATTACAAAGTCTCAAAAGAGTTTTGTTTTGCTTTGGTTTGGTGTCTTTATCTTCTGATCAAATTAGTCAATTGTTGATAGTTGTGATATCGTTTTCAGTTCGTTGTAAACAAAAGAGAATAAAACCATAACTCATTCTTTCTTTAAAGGCTAGTTGCTAATTCGTGCTAAGCTTATTCACATTTATTTGGTTTAAATATTACAAAACAAAACATTGTTTGCTTTTTTTATATAAGAACTCTTTTTTTTTTTTTTTGGGTCAACGAAGTTGAAATTGGGGACGTAACAAAGGCTGTGAATATATATTGTGATGTAACCACAACTCTAAAAAAAAACATGATTAGTAAAATATACTTGAAATTCTTACCAACACACCCATTGTTTTCGAAGATATATTTAGTGAAGAATACTTTTAATTATATTGAACTAGGACGACTAATAAATTGGTAAACCATATGATAAAGAATGTTTTATACGAGAATTTTTTAAAAATAAAATATTAATCTTCTGTTAAGATAGATCAAATTATCAAAACATTATCTCTAATGATATATGAAAAAAATATGATCAGTTTGAAAGTGTAGACAAAACTTTGTGGGGTTTGCTTGAAATTGCTTAGGACTATATACAAATAAAGAACGTCTAAAGAATAATTTTAGTACGAAATTATTGGATTATTGACTTGCATTGCGTAAGCGAATAATTATGATTTAATTACTATATATTTTTTCTTCTATAACCAAACATATCTAGCCAAAAAGCATATACTAAGTCTTGGAATATATACGGAGTGTTACATAATTTTACCATTTGAAATATTTATTATGATAATTAAACTTTGTTTGAAATTGCAGTGAGATGATTCTAAACTTGATCTCCTAATCTGAAAAATAAATCCTTTAATTATTGGACATAGTTAAAATATTTTGATATGGTTTGTCTAAAATAATTTGAGCCACCTACTCATTTTTCTTTTGCTTCAAATTTTTAAAATATTGAGCTCTCAATATTACAGCCAAGGTTTCAAATTAAAGAGAATTTTTGAGAAATACCCCTTTTGGTGTACCCTTTTTTAAAAATACCCCTTTTCCAATACCACTTTTTAAAAATACCCCTCTTTCTAATTTTATCAAAAAGTCACTATATAATTTGAAATTTATCAAAAACATATGTGTAAGCTTATATTTATAGACACAAATTATCTTTATATGTGGATGTGTAAATTTATATATATTTCATAAATATTTTTAAAACCCTTACAAATCTTTTTAAAACACTTGTAAATCTTTTAAAAACCGTTATAAACTTATAAAATCTTTTCAAAATCATTTTAAATCCTTTAAAAATCATTCAAAAACCTTTGTAAGCTTCTAAAACCCTTTGAAACCATTACAAAATTTTTTAAAACCATTACGAATTTTTTAAAACCATTTAAAACCCCTTCCCTTGTAAATCCCATTAAAACCCTTGTAAATCTTTGAAAAGACCCTTTAAAAATTTGTAGGAAATTTTTTTGGCGGAAAAATTTTGACGGGACAGTTTTTGGCGGGATAGATAATAAATTCATATATAACACCTAAAGCTGATCTCGTACTGACACAAAAGTAATGATGTATTTACCAATGGTTCTAGAATGTAAACCCATCCAAGAAGAGCTAAATCATGTGGCAAAAAACTAAACCTATCTTTCGTTGTGAATTTTTTAGAAGCAAAAGTAGAAAGCTGATTTGCTACGTAGGTGGTGGATGCAGAGGTTATTTGTTTGCTTTGGAGGTGAAGGAAGAACTTGGTTACATGGCCAGATCAAGATAACCACTAGATAACGCATATCTTGCTTTTGTTTGTGTTTGACTGATAAGTTTGTGTGTAAATGCCACAGCTAAATGTTAAAGAAGCTTTGGAACTGTGTCCAAATGAGTGATCTTGAAGAGTAATGGGAGAAGAAGGGAGCACAAAGTAAAACATTCTTGCTCATTTCCAGCATTTCAAATAGCCTCAGTACTTAGTTTTGTTTCTCAATACATATCAAACTTCTCAAACACTGTGTTATATATTTAAAGAGCTTCTTCTTCTATAAACAATGTTAAACACATGAGAAGCAAATGAGAGTTCAATGGCCATGTGATAGCAGAGAAGCTTCAGCGTCAAGGAACACGCAAAAAATCATGTAAATGAATTTTGTTTGGTTTGGTAAATTAGTAAATTTAAAGTACCGGTTCTGAATTTTGTCTGGTTTAAATAGTAATAATATCGGTTTGGTTCAGCTATCAAATAACTTGATTCCTTTTGCTTTTAGATACTATGAAGTATTATAGCTTTAGACTTATGTTTTGGACTAAGATTTTGATTGGATGATGATTTTGTAAAATTTGATCGATGATGTAGATTGCATATCAGTGGAATGACTACCAAAGCATTTTAAGATCTCTCAAGGAGAGTCTCTGTGTAATGTTCTCTCTTTATTTTTAGTTATGATGCAGTTTCTGATGCCTAGGCTTGTTAACAAAGCCTGAGTTTTGAATGTCTAAGGCGCTACTGTGTCTTCAAGAAAAGCAAAGCTCTGGTTTTGTTTCTCAACTACACCCTTCCTTTTTGATTTCCAATCTTCAAAACTTGTCTGCTGCATGAGTTCATTTCAGGTGTTATTTAGACATACAAAGATGTATTAATGTTTGCTAGAAATTGCACTTCCTATATTTTTCTGGAGATGTCATCCCTAAATCATATGCAGGAATGGTTTTCGTAACAGCTATTAGGTAATTTGAAAGCCTTAAGTTTTGGTCTCTCTGTCTCTCTCTCTTTTCTTTCTTCGCCAAACGGTTTGCCCTCTAAACACCTTGTTCGTGTTCGAATTTGTGATCATATACATTGTTTCTATGTCTGTTGATTCTTGTGTATCCTGAATCAGAGGTTTGAAGGTCCAACAAAAGCTTAGGTCTTCTTCTCTATTCCTCTTGTTGCTCTGTTTTTTTTTTTAATACCATTTTAGCTGTTTAACCCAATGTTTATATAATTGCCGCCACTTCTCTGTTTAAGGTTCTTCTCAAGTATAGGCCTAAAGAAAAAGCTGCCAAGAAGGAGCGTTTTTTCAAGAAGGCTCAGTGTGAGTCTGCGGGAAAAACCTTCTAAGTTGAAGAATCCAATTGCTTTGAAGTATGGACTTACCTCATCAAGCATGTGTCTTCCCTTACTAATTAATTCAATTGTCACTCTAGAAATTAGTAAGCTCGCTGCAAGAATCTTTTCTGAAACCTATATGTTTGTTTGATTGTAGAACAAGGCGGAATCATTTGCAAATTTCTCATGATGTGGATCAGATTGAGTTAGTCGTCTGGTTGCCCGCGTTGTAAAACTACTGCTTGCTTGCATGGGTACGATCCCATTCCATATTCGATAAATTTCTATATCTAATATCGACTAGGATTGTAATAAGATCTCTTAAGGTCAGCCTCTTTAACAGTATTGAAGCTGCGGTTAGAGTTTACAGGGATGTCAAGACGAGGTGATTAGTTCCAGATTATGAAAGCTGTTTCAATTGTATTAAAAAAACAAGCAATAGAACTGAGTGACACCATTCTCGTTTTCTAGGTTGTTAAAAGATTGCTTGAAGCCTACACTACTTGTGTCTGCTTACCTGATATATGCAATCAAGTAGACTGCTGCTCTACAAGAAGATAACTAGAGTATTTTGGAGGTAAGCAAAGGTATAAAATTATCATTATATTCTATTTTCTTACTGTTATTTGAACTCTTAAAGGTAAGTTGTGCCGATGAATTGTTTTGTTTAATTATATAGTTCTGAAGCATATTAGATGATTAATTTTGGTTGAAGCTCATTGTAAGAAGTCATGTTCTGCTATCAAATAACTTTATTCCTTCTGTTTTAGACAACTTCAGGGGAATGGCTTCTAAAGCAGTGTAAGATCTGTCAAGGACAACTTCTATAACAATGTCGAAGCTGTATTGTAGGACTTACTAATACGGCTTGTAAGAGTTAAAATAAGGCATCGGTTATATGTAGTTGAAATTACCATTTGTAGTATTCTGAAGCTTTACATGTGTCTGGTTCTTTACCTAGAGATTGAGGTATTGTAGAAACTCTGCAAATTTTGGTCAGTTAAACGTTCTCTCTTTATCAAAACTGTTAACAAAACTGCAAAATTGCAGGATTTAAAGGGAAGCTAAAGGGTTACTAGGTCATCTCTTCTACAAAACCAAAGGTTATTTACTATACAGAAAAATACTCATTTTCTATTTAAGTATTGAGCTTTTGATATTTATAAGCACAGCATTAGTATATGCTTTAAGCTTTTGTCTTATGCCTTAGAAGAAGCTGGCTTTTGCGGTATACATCAACATGCAAAGCTCTGGTTTCTTTCTCAGGTACGCCCTTCTCTTTCGATTTCTAATCTCCAATACTTGTTGGCTACGTTTGATTTTAGTAAGTTACTTACATCCATTATACAGTTCCGAAGAACTTTCAATGACTGATTTTGTTTAAAGCTCCTTATAAGAAGTTTTAGGTATGTTACGTCCAGCTATCAAATGACTCGATTCCTTTTGTTAGATACCACAAATCATAACTTTAGGCTTCTATCCTCCGGGACTAAGATTTTAATGGATGATGACTTTGCAGTTTTGGTCAATCCCTCTCTCTCTTCTTTTTTTGCCAAACAGTTTGCCCTCTAAACAACTTGTTGCTGTTCGAATTTGTGGTCATATACATTATTTCTATGACTGTAGCTTCTTGTGTATCCTGAAGCAGAGGTTGAAGGTTCTCTCAACCAGTTCAGGACTCTTGACAAAAGCTTAGGTCTTTGTATAATTGCCGCCATTCCTCTGTTTAAGGTTCTTCTCAAGTATAGGCATGAAGACAAAGCTGCCTAGAAAGAGCGTTTTCGCAAGAAGGCTTAGTGTGAGGCTGAGGAAAAAACTTCTTAGTCAAGGAAGCCAATTCCTGTGAAAAATCATGTGACTTAATTCAATAATTTCTGAAACCTATATGTTTGTTTGATTGCAGAACAAGGCGGAATCATTTGCAATTGCTCATGATGTGGATCAGATTGAGTTAGTCTTCTGGTTGCCCGCGTTCTAAGTTCTTTACAGCATTGTCAAAGAGAAGTCACGACTGCGAGCACAGTAAGGAACGAGGAAAGCTGG